TGGCGGTGGCTTGTGGATTGAAGCTCAGGGGTTTGGGAAGTGGCATTTCCAGGCCCCGCTGGAACAGAGTCCAAGTCAGTGGGTGTGAGAGGTCCCTCCTGAACCTTCTAATCCAGTGGTAAAATCACATAGTGGGGTGTGGGGAGGAGGCAGGGGGCCTGCAAGGTAAAGCGAAGGGGGAATTTGGGGGAGCAGGGCAGGGAGCTGACGGTGTAGAAGTGTTTGGGTGTCACCCCCAAATGGTGGGGATCTACCTCCATCCCCCAAAAGCTGCCTCTTCAAATCATAACCTGTGATCAATAGGTGTCCCCTCAGCCAATCCATTTGTCCCCCCCAAAAAGCAGGAATGGTGGCTCTGGGTTTGATCAGGGCAAGAGTCTGGAGTGGGAATTAGGTCCCTGAAGGAAACAGACGGAGAGGAGGACAGTGAGGACTCAAACACGGCTGGGGGTGTGGATGGGACTAGGCACGAGAGTGAAGATGGGGCGCTCCCCACTTATGGCCCAAACGTGGATGCGTGCCTCTGGGTAGGTGCTCACTGGGCTGAAAAAACTGGTTCTCCTGGACCAGGGGTGGACCGGAGAGCAGGTCCCTGGGAAGGACGCGAGCTCACCGGGTTGGCCGCAATGGCCACCCACACAGGAAGCTGAGTCCTCACTGCTGGGGCAACCCTGCTTACCCCACCCCAAGCCCTGCAAGGCGGGGAGCAACCCTGCGGCCCCACACCCCAGAACACAGGAGAAAAATCAAATGGGGTCACTCTCCTGCTTAAAGCTTGCCAGAGCATAACACGGCGTTGCCCTTAGAATCAAATCCAAGGACGCACTGTGGACCTTAGGACTGTGCGTGACCATCTTCCATCCACCCTTCCGTCACCTTATCCCAGCAACTCTGGCCCTCTCTCTGTTCCTCGAACACATGGTCTGTAACACCGTCCCACCCCAGCCCCCACCTCCCCACCAGGGTGTTTCTAGTGGTTTGTTCTGATCCTGGTCTCAACTAGCTGGAGTGGCCTTCCCTGACCACCAGACCTCAAGTCACCTCACCCCCGGTCCTGCTAACACGCGGCCCTGTTGCATCCCCCAGCCCCACCCACAGCCGTCTCAAAGGATCTATTTGTTCATGTGCTTGCTGTCTGTCTCCCTGTGAGCCGGTGGTAGTAGGGGTGGTGCCCAGGGAGTTCACAGCTGCTTCCCCAACAGCGAACAGCATCTAGGGACACGGGAGCCTTGAGGCAAGTGGATCCTAGAATGTCAACGCTGGAAGGGACTTCCCAGGTCTTCGTGTCCCTCCCATGTATCTGACACATTGGGGCCACTGAGCCTGAGGCACTTGCTCAACACCAGCTGGGAAAAGAGGCTGGTGTTCTTCCCACTCTGCCAGTCTCCTTCCAGACCAGAAAGCACACAGGGGTCCAGAGTGCCAGCTGGAGGAAGCCCCCGATTGGACGGGGCTCGAGCCCCTTCCCCACATCCTGTCCCTGGAAGGGGCCCAGAGCATAAGCAGAATCCTATGCACGGCTGGGTGTGTCTCTGCAGTACATCTCCCTCCAAGCTGGCTGATTCCAGTGATCCACCGCATCCCTCCCTCTCTGGCTTGGGGCCATTTTTAGCATGGGCATGCCTTCTAATGCTAGCTTCGGTGGTGGTCAAGGTGTGTCTGGAGGGACAGGCTGTGTGTGCATGTGCGTGTATGTGTGTGTGTGTTCTATATCCCGGTCTTGCTGTTCTAAGTCAAAGCCCAGTCCTATAAGGGGCCCAACTGTCCAGCCTCTGCCACAGTCCTGGCCACACAGGGGTGCCTCTGGCTAGTTCCCAGTCCTTTGATCTTGTTCTTTTTTTTTTTTTTTTTTAGGTTTTATTTATTTATTTGAGGGGGGAAGGGCAGAGGAAGAGGGTGAAGTGGACTCCCCACTGAGCAGGGAGCCCGATCCCAGGACCCTGGATTCATGACCTGAGCTGAAGGCAGACACTTCACCAACTGAGCCATCCAGGCGCACCGTGTCTCTATTTCTAAGGGCTTTGGGGCTGCAAGGGAGAACATCAGACTCCCCAGATTACTGTCTGTGTTGGTAATCCTGCAATGACAAACCATCCCAAAATCTCAGTGGTGGGACCCAACGAAAGTGTATTTCTCGCTCAGCTCCTCGTCCAGCCCAGGTTAGCAAGGCGCTCTGTTCTGGTCCCTCTGAGACAGGAGCTGATGGCTATGCTGTCTCCACGTGGGCTTCCAGAACAGCAGAGGCAGAGAGAGGGGGGAGCTCTGGAGGGGCTCGCACCAGCGACTAAATGCCCCAACCTGGAGAGGACCTGCCTCCTGCATCCCTTCCGCACGGAGCTGGTTGGCCAGAGCTCAGCCTGACTCCTCGCATCCACCAGAGGCCCGGAGACTGAGTCTTCCCTGTACCCAGAAGAGTAACAGGATCCCAGGGGCAGCACTAGTAACTCCCACACCCAGAAGCTGGATTCTTTGCAAAGCGCCTGCTTTTTTCCTATCAGCCCCTTGAGTCTGGCTATTCCTTCATCTCCTGATGGGTGACACACTCAGCGGGGTGGAGGCAGGAAGGTGGGGCCTGGCTAGGTGGTGGGTTGAGCTGGGAGGCTCCCTGTCTCCAGAGCAGATGATCCAGGGACTCCCTACTGCTCGCTCCTTCTCCCATCCCCTGCCACCCCAGCCACCTACACACACGCGCGCACACACACACACACACAAATACACAACACACACAATACACACATACACACACCCCAAATCAAAAATGAAATGGGAGCCAAATATGTTGGATTTTATTGAATTCATTGGGCTCAAGGATAGGAAAACAGGAGGGAGGAGACAGGACAAGGGCTGGGGAGGGTCCCCACACACACCCAAGCTCCTGGAGGCCTGCAGCTAGAGGTCCAGGGAAGCTGGGCTGTAATCCTAACCCTCCCTTTAAAGATGCTGATGCAACGGGGACCATGGGGCAGACCCAGGCCACACATCTTTTCTTGCCCATTTTCCAGGCTCTTCCAAAGAAAGAAGTTAGACTGGGTGGTTCTAGGCTTGGAGGAAAGCGGAAACAAAGCAACAAGGCAAGAGGAAGGGTTTGGGGACAGGGGAGGACGGGAAAGGGGAGCTCAGAGTCCCTGTGGGTTTCCCAATGGGAGGAGGTAGGTTTTCACAGGAGAGGGAAATCAGGAGGCTGCCCAAGTAGAGAAAGGGGTGATGGGGTTCCTTCCTCTTGAAGGACCTGCTGTGCGTTTGATGTTAGGCAGCGGCTTCTCACCCTGGACGCTGCTATACGGGTCCCCCACTGCTCAGGGCCCACCCGTAGGAGGATAGAGCCACCATGGGGGGGAAAGTCCCCAGGTGCAGAGAAGGCTCCAGCTGAGTGGGAACAGAGGGGACCCTGACATGCCGGCCCTCCTCATGTCCTTGAGCTGGAGCCTTTTTCCAGGGCAGTAGGAGGAGTGGGTCAAATGGAGACGCTGTTCTCGATGAGGGGAGGGTCCAGGTAGGCGTAGGGCAGCTCCAGACCCTGGTTCCGCTCCCGGATCTCCCGTGAAATCTGGGCCAGGCGGTTCTGGAAGGCGGCGATGCTTCGCTGAGGGGCCTCCTCCGTGAAGTGCTCATCCGGGTAGGTGCCCAGGGGCCGCTGGGAGAAAACCAGGAGGCGGTCAGGACGATGGTCAGGATGGGATGAAGAAGAGTGAAGGACCACGTTTGCCAACACAGAGTCAGGGTAGCTCCAAGGGCTTGACCCAGCCACAGTTACTGCAAACGTGAGCCCTCCAAACCACCACTCCCCACTCCAGGGAGCCTGCCCAGAGAGGGGGCGGGGGTGGGGGTGGGGGGAGACACAACCCAGGGAGTGTGGGGGCTGGAATGGTTAGCCTGAGGTTAGTGCTCCCTCTGCTGGTAGCCCTCTGCCTGATACTATCGCTCAGGGACCGTTTCTGCGCCTGAAAGTGGATGCATTGGACCAGAACACCTTTTTAAAGGTCCACTTTAAACGCCTGGTCCGCTGCTCCGTGAACCGAAGAAGTACAGGCATGTTCATAACACAAATCAACCCAACATGTTATGAAATCAACATAAACATGCTCCAGCAAATAGGACCCAGGATACACCTGTCACTCCACCATTTCACAAAATCCAACCCCTGAAGATGACAACTAGTTCTGAAGGCATCTCTCCAATCCACCCAACACCATCACCATGCCCGGGCTCACTTTAGAGCCCGGCCAACCACAATCGGCAAGCATCGCAGTGAGCTTCTAGTGGGTGGCGTCCTGTGGCAGTACGGGATGGCCCCTCTCTCCGTGATCAGTCCACAGAAGCAGCTCAGCTCCTCAGTTCCAGGGGCCTAGCCTCCTAACCAGCCTGCGCCTCCTGTCCAGTATAACCCGCATACAATCTAATTGTTGCCAATAATCCTGATGCTTCAAAATTCTTGGTCTTGGGGTGCCTGGGTGGCTCAGTCAGTTAAAATGTCCAGCTCTTGGTTTCGGCTCAGACCATGGATCTGACTCAGATCATGAGTTCAAGCCCTGAATTGGGCTCCCTGCTCAGCGGGGAGCCTGCTTCTCCCTCTCCCACTTCCCCTGCTTCTATGCTCTCTCTCTCTAACAAATAAATAAAATCTTTAAAAATAAAATGTGGTATGGGAGTTTCATTTTCACACTGAGTTTTCGTTAGTAATGACTGTCCACACTTAGCAAACGCTTCTTTCACATATTGAGATGATTATATGGTGTTACTTTATGAATGTAATAAATTACATCGTTAGATTTCATCAGGGTGAACCGACCTCTCATTCCTCTCATTCCTAGAATAAACTAGACCTCAGCACAGCGTATTATTGTCTTACTATGCAGTATTGGCCTTCATTGGCTAATGATGTATTTTTAAGATTGTTGTAGCTAAGTGGAACACATTTATAATTTCATTTTCTTAATTACAGCTGACACGTTGCAAGCACTTGACATGAACTATCATGACGGCACAACAATCCTGTAAGACAGGTGCTCTTATCATTCCCACTTCACAGATAAAGAAACTGAGGCTTGGAGAGGCCCAATTACATATCCAGGGTCACACCCGGGGAAGTGTGGATCTGGGACTAGAACTTTCTACTGGAGACCCACTTCCCTTCTTAAGAGCATCACTTTAGCCAGGTACTGGAATCGAGGTTCCCAGTAACATGATTTGGGAGTGTCTACTTTTTTTCTATGCTTTCAAGCAGTTTGAGTGATTTAAGAATGACTTGGTCCTTGAAGGTTTAGTAGAATCTCCCTTTGCAAGGAGGGGGATCAGATCTTTTATACTCTTTTCCACTTATGTGTGGTTTTCCTCTCTTTGGGTGTCAATTTTTCTTTATTGTTTTCCTAGAAAATCATCTCTTTCACCTTGATTTCCAAATGTGTTTTCATAAAACTGCAAGTCATGCTTTCTTGTGATTTCTTCAACCTTCTCAATTATTGGCTGTTTGCCTTTCCACTCCTACCAAATGTACATTGATGTTCTCTCAACTCTTTTGATTGGGATTGTCTCTGGTTTCTTTATTTTATTGGTATTTTCAAAGAATCAGTTTTATGTCTTATTTACCAGATTGACATCTAATTTCTAAAACTATAGTGTAGCTGTCCAAAATGCAGAACACAGGAACAGGACAGGCTGGGTTCAAAGCCTATGTACTAGCTCTGTGACCTTGGGCAACTTGCTTAGTGTCTCTGAACCAACTTGCTTTAGGTTTCCCCCCCTGTAAAATGCAACTACCGTTTGGGGTGCCTGGCCAGTTCCATTGGTGGAACGTGTGACTTTTGAGCTCGGGGTTGTGAGTTCGAGCCCCACGTGGGGGGTAGAGATTACTTAAAAATTTTTTTAAAAAAATCTTTAAAAAAAATGGAACTACCATCTATTGAACACTTATATGCCAGGCACTGTATTAAGCATTTTAAATAAAGATCCTTACCTACTTTGTATTTTAAAATAGCATACATAAGTTATCTGATTTAATGACTGAGACATGAGAGATCCCCAAGAAGCTATAGCTACTGTTGTTAATAACTTTTTTAAAGATTTTATTTATTTATTTGACAGAAAGAGACACAGCGAGAGAGGGAGCACAAGCAGGGGGAGTGGGAGAGGGAGAAGCAGGCTTCCCGCGGAGCAGGGAGCCTGATGCGGGGCTTGATCCCAGGACCCTGGGATCATGACCTGAGCTGAAGGCAGAGGCTTAACAACCGAGCCACCCAGGCGCCCCACTGTTGTTAATAATTTTCTAAGGTAGACCCCACCACTGGCTTCTCGGAGGGAGCCCTCCACCCCCATCCTCTTCTCTTGCTTGTCATCCCTCACCACTGTGATATTGCGATTTACAGTAAGGAATATACATTTGGGCTTCCTCCCTTTCCTGGCACAGAGCTCCTGAAACCCTTATAATTTTGTAAGCGTTCGAGTGTTAAAGGTGTCTTGTTATAATAAGACCCTTTCAACCACACCTGAGTTTACAGTTCATGCAGTGACTTCTGGAAAGCCCCTAAGGATGGGGGTGGTTGCCAGGAGAGCCAACCACATGATTAGAGGGTTGGAACTTGCAGTTCCAGCCCCCAATCTCTGGGGAGGAGAGAGGGGCTGGAGGTTGACTTAATCCTCAGTGGCCAATGATTCAATTAATCACACTTAGGTAATAATGAGACAGAAAAACCCTAGCAGCAGGGGTTTGGAGAGCTTCCAGGCTGGTGAACACGTGGAGGTATGGGTAGAGCAGGGCAGCCAGAGAGAGCAAGTTAGCCCTGCACCCCCTCCCACACACCTTGCCCAGCACATCTCTGGCTGTTCCTGAGTTATGTCCTTTTATAATAAATAAACCAGTAATCTAATAAGTAAACTGTTTTCCCTGAGTTCAGTTCAGCAAATGAGCAAACCTGGGGCGGCAGGGGCGTGGGGGGTGGGTTGTAGAAACCTCTGATTTTTAGCTGGTGCGCCAGAAGCCCAGGTGACAACCTGGGCTTGAGGTTGGCATGGGGGGGCACGGCAGTCTTTTGGGACTGAGTCTGAACCCGTAGGACCTGCCACTATCTGCAAGGAGAGTGTCAGAACTGAGTTAAATTATCTGACACCCCACTGGTCCCACACACATTCAGTGGCTAGAAGTATTGAATGAGAGTATTGGGAATAGTAATAGAGTATTCTGTGAGTAGACAAAAAGAACCCCAGAGTGTTTTCCTTTATAATGAAAAAAAAAAAAAAAAAAAAAAAAGAATGTCTCCAAGTCCTTGGGAAATGGGACCAGAAAGGAACAGGATCCAGGGATGAGTTCCTGGCATTCCCAGGCCATGAGATGGTAATTAAAACTTGTTAGGAAGATAACATGCACCTGCACCAAATGGAGTCAAGCATGAGAAATGAGGACATTCCTGTGACGTCAGAGGGCTTGTGAACAAGACCAGGAGGGCAGAGGTGGGATTGATGACCCCACACGTGAATGAAAATATTGGTAATTAGGGATCAAGGGGCTGTTCCCCTGGCCAAGCCGACCTGACAGCCTCCTCCCCTGTTCCTGCCTAGAACTGCCCCTCCCAACCATCCACACGCCCTTGCTAAAACACAAATTCAGCCATGCCACCCCGGGCTTAAAGCTCTTCAGTGGCTCCCCATCCTCCTCTGAATGAACACTGTGCCCTCACGAAACATTTACAATCCTACCAACACACCAACGGACTCACCTTCACTTCGTTTCACTTGGTTGTGTCCTTCCTCTTGTCTAGAAACTAACCCTGCCCTTCCTTTGTCTGCCGAGCTCCTACTTGTCCTACAGGTTTCAGCTTTGATGTCACTTCCTCCAAGAAGCCTTCCTGGGTTTGCCCAGACTTGGTCACGTTCCACAAGTCCCCATTCTCACCTCTATTACGAGACTAAGCTCATGAGGATAGGGTTCATATCTGCCCCCCAATGTCTGGCACATTGCAAATGCTCATGAAGTATGTGTTTGTACATAAATGATTCCTACAACACTGTGATGGCCTTTTTCATGTCCCTGTGTGTCCCCTCAACTAGACCATAGGATTCCTGAAGGCAAGAAGGTCTCATTCAGCTTTATGTGCCCAGTGCCATCTTGACATGTGGGAAGTATCCAAAATAATGTGTGTCGAATGTTTAGATGAATGGATGAGCAGTTAATGGATGAATGGTTGATGGATGAATAAGTGGATGGATGAATGGATGGATGGACAGATGGGTGGATGGGTGGGTGGATGGATGGATGGATGGATGGATGGATAGGTGGGTGGTTGGATGGACATATGGATAGATAGATGGATGGATGGATGGATGGGTGGATTGGTAAACTGGTGAATTTGATAGACATTGTGCCCCAGCCACTAAACTGGTATTTGCTTCAATGTATGTCTTTGGGGATCAATTATCATTTCCTAAAGAAACTGAGGAACCCAAGACAAGCTCAGCAGTGGGCATAAATGGCAGCACTCAGTCCCTAAGCCCCCCTGGAACAGCTACCACCACTGCCACTGCCTAGGCCCGGTAAACCCCCACCCCCACCCCACCCTACACCCCATACACACCTGGTCTTTGGGCTCCTGGCTGACCAACCAGAAGAGGAGAAGGTTGTTACAGGTGACATTCACTTCTGGGAGGGTGTCTAGGTAACTTTTCAGCGTGGCGGTCCCCTTGGTCTGCGGTGGGGGCTGCCTCATGGATGACGGGGTATTGGGCATCCAGGCCCCAAAGTCATGCTGTAGAGACCCCACCCCAGTTGAGTCAGCTGGCCAGAGTGGGAGAACCAGCTCCTTCATCATCCCTGATCCTGCCTCTACCATCCCAGTACTTGCAGTTGAGAAATGAAGGGATGGTGGAAAGAGAAGAGAGGGAGGGGTGTAGGGTAAAAAGTTCCAGAAGTGGGGTAGGGGGCTCACCCCTTGTCACTCCCCACCCAGTGTTCCAGGACTAGGTGGAGTGAATCACCAAGGAAGGAGCAGAACCCAAAGAGGGCCCTAGTCAAAGGGCTGGCATGCCACCCAGCACAGCCTGATACTCCCCTTGGCTGCGTCCTCACCGTGACAGGCCCTATAGGTTTTACTCCCCACAAAACACTAGCTGGAGTCACCATTACAATCCTGAACCCCGCTCCACCCCAGTCCTCATCCAACACTGGCCCTTCACTCCTTCACTCCACCCAGTCACCACCCAACCTCAGCCCCAAACGTAAACCCACCTCAACTCTGACCCACCCATGCTCTCAACCCCAACTCTGGCCTCACATCCAGTGCTGAGCCTAACCTTGCATAGCCCAGTGCCCCCAGGCCTGCCCCCTGCCACCTCACCTGCCCACTGTTGACAGCGGCATGCTGGGCGGAGCAGTTGAAGATGATTGCAGTGAGGAACTTCACCAGCTCTCCTGGAGTGCACAGCCGGCGTGGGAAGCCTGGGTGTGGGAGGAAGGGGAAAGGGTGTGGAGGGAGAGGACCGGATTCCTGGGGGCAGCTCAGGGCTGGGGCTCACCGCAAGGGGAGAGTGAGGATGAGAGGGCTGAGCATTTGGCCACCACTGTCTTTTCACTAAGATTAGGGCTGGGCTGAGGTTAGAGACGGTCATTACCAAGGTTTGCGGTCTCTGAAGGGGGTCGGGATAGGAGCTGGCCACTGGGATTGGACCAGAAAACGCCCAGCCGGCAGAGCTCACAAGAGAGGAGCCAAGTTCAAGTTGACAGCCAAGTTGGATCTTCTCCCCACTTCTATCTGCAACCCCTGATAGCACTTAACGATTTTTTTTAAAGATTTATTTATTTATTTGAGAGAATGAGAATGGGGGTGGGGCAGAGGGGGAGGGAGAGGGAGAGAGAGAGAATCTTCCGGCCAAGCGCGGAGCCTGATGCAGGGCTTGATCCCAGGAACACTGAGATCAGGACCCGAGCCGAAACCAAGAGCCGGGTGCCCAACAGACTGAGCCACCCAGGCGCCCCAGCCCTTAATGATTTAATTCTACCCAGTTCGCCAAGATTTGTCCAAGCACCCAGTGGTGGATCGTCCACAGCTGGGCTTAGCAACAAAGGCTGGTGACCAGAGTGTGTTACTCATAAGTTCGCAGTGATGGAAGCAGAAGGGGGCTCCAAGACCAGGGCTCGGCTCTCTGAGGGGAGCACAGGCAGGGCAGAGACAGACACTGGGGCTGAGGCGCTTAGGGGAGACTTCCCTGCAGGAAGACAAGGGTGGGTGAGCTCTGAATGGGAGAAAGATGACAGAGGAAGAAGGCATTTTCAGGCTCAGCCCTGGGTCCTCCCCTCTCTGTACATCATTGCTCTCCTCCAAATCGATGGCTTTAACCGCTTCCCACTGGCCGATGACTCCCAAATTCACACCGCCTGCTCTGTCTGGCCCCTGAATTCTAGACACGGCCGTGGGCATAATTCTGCGGCTGCCATCTGACACTCCAAGGTGGGTGTCTACGCGGCCTCCCAGACGTCACCCCTGCAAACCCTGATGCTTGGCCCCCTCCCCCACTCACTCCCCAGATCTGTCCCTCCACGGTGGTCCCATTCTGGTCGCTTTATCCAGTCGCTCAGACCACAGTCTGTGAGCTCTTTTCCCCCTTTTATCTCATGCCGCGCATATCAGCAAATACTTCCTGCATGAACCCACCTGCTTCCACCCTTGTCCCTGCAGGCCAGAGATGCTGAGACTTTAGAATCATAAATCCGATCATGTCACCCCCTTGCTAAAACCAGTTATCCGCAGAACTAGCTCTCTACTCAAATGTCACCTCCTCCGAGAGGCCTTCCTGGACTGCCAAGCTGAAATAACCCCCCTACCTCAACGTGCTGTTTCCTTTTCCTGAGCGCCCCTAGCCCGCCCCCTGACATATTTGTCTGGTGATTCTCTGAATCTCCCCGCTAGAATGGGAAGCTCCGTGAAGGCCAGGAGTTTCGTCCGTCAGTTTCACTGCTAAACCCCGGCCGCTGGAACAATACTTAATATTAAGAGCCCGGTAATTATTGGTTGACTGGAGTGAATGCCTAAGAAGGTAAGAAGGCAGATTGGGAAGGAATGAAGCATCAGCAAGGCAAAGGGGCAGGGAGGTACTTATTGGAGGTGAGGCCGAAGCATGTGCCAGGCCACGCAGTTTCTGGGCACAATTCCGGAGGATTGTCAGGGCGGTGGCCCGACAACCTGATGGGTGGGCAGCAAGAGGCTAGGAACGGTGAGGCCGGTAGAGAAGAAACTGTCACAGTATGAGGACTGGGACTGGGTGGTGACAGTGGGACATGATGGCGACAAGAGGAATTGGCCACCCAACTGGATTTAGGGAAACAGGAAGACAGAGTGGGAGCCAAAGATGGCTTCAGAGTTTGCAGTGAGGATGCAGAGGGTTGGAGGAAGGACCAGGCGTCTGACTTGGGAGCCTGTGGGAATTTCCTGGGATGTTCCCTTTGGGGTAGTCTAACCTGGAAGGGCCAAGATTAAAAGGCAAAAGAAGTCAGGCCCTCTGGGGATTTTTCTGTAGTTCCCATTGTTAATTTGTTCCCCATGAAATATGTAAGCAAAAGTCACACTGACTGAAGTTAATGAATGAGTGTGCCTTGTCTTAAACCAGGAATCTGCGATAAGCTTGCAATGTCAGAGATGTTTGTCCATCTGAAGAATGCTCTGATGTACTGAGTCAGAGACAGGTTGAAGAAAGTGAGATAGGAGAATCAGCCAACAGTAATTAGACCCCCTGCTGCCCCAGGTCTTAAATAAAAAACAGCCCCAAAGAGGAAAAAAAAAAAAAAACTGCCCTTGCGGGAAGAAGCATCAGGATCAGGTCAGCCCAGGATTAACAGTGGGCTTGCAAAGCAGGGGACGGGTCATCCTTTAAAGATCCAAAAGAGGGGCTCCTGGGTGGCTCAGTTGGTGAAGCATCTGCCTTCAGCTCAGGAAATGATTCTGGGGTCCTGGGATCGAGCCCTTCAGCTCAAGTAATGATCCCGGGGTCCTGGGATCAAGCCCCACATTGGGCGCCCTGCTCAGCGGGGAGTCTGCTTCTCCCTCTACATGCGCCATATTGGAGTTCGTTGTCAGTTTTGTCAAGTGTGATGACAGTATCGTGATTGTGTAGAGAAATGGGGGGTTTTTTGAGTTGCATATTGATTGGGAGTAAAATATGAAATAGATGTAATTTAAAAGACTTCAGCAATAAATGAAAGCAACAGATTAATCAAATGAATGCTTGTGGAATCTGGGCAGTGGGTGAATGGGTGTACGTTACGTTATACTCTCTACTTTTCTGTATGTTTAAAATGTGTTGTCTAAAGAAAAAAAAAAGTCTCAGAACCTGTAGCTGGTAGTTTTTGTGTGCTGGTCTCAAGGGTGACAATGAGACAGCAGCGGAAATGGAAAGTTCTTCAGGGAATGTGGGGCAGAGGGATTTCCAAGTCTGGAATCAGCTGCAGAGGAGAAACGGGAGAAAGGATCAGTCCATCACGGGAGGGTAGAGAGGAGACAGAGACCGAGGCAGGACAAGCCAACCGCTGGGACAGGGACATGGCAGAGGCCCGGGAGGAAGTGGGAGGCTCAGAGGATGTTTCCTCCCTGGGGCTAAGGGAAGACTTTAAGGAAGGGAGGGTGGTCTGCTGAAGTTAAGCAAAGGAGGAGGGAGAGGGGGCCACTGGGGTCCATGGGTCTCAAAATCCTCTCGGGCAGTGTCAGAAGGGGGGACGTTAGTGCCAGGTGACAGGTATTAATAAGGAAGAACCAGGCTGCGGCAGCAGGATCACGTCTCTCCATGAGGCCCAAAGAAATGAGAGAGGTTGGTGGCTAGAGGGGCCACCTGGTGGGACAAGCATGAGGAAGTATGAAAGAAGGTTCCAGAATCCTCAACCTTTGAGGCCGGAGATGCTCCTACCACATGATGGGACACATCCACAGAGCTCAGCAAGCAGTGGTGGATGGACAGGCTCAAGTAAAAGCCGAGGAAGAATCAGAGGGTCACAGTGTAGTGGCTGCAGGCAAGGACTTTGGAGGCCGTGAGAGCCGGCTCTGGATCCCGCCTCTGCAACTATCTGCAAAGCCTTCTCTGTGCCTGTTCCTCATCTGTTCAGCAGGGCTAATAATAGGATGTACTTCAAAGGCTTGTCCATAAATAAGAACTAAGGAACAAGTGAGGCCAGAGGGAACACCAGGTCATTGGGAGCTTGTGGTTGGGGGATGGGATACCTGAGCTTTCCCGGCCCAGGAACGCCCAAGCAAAAATCTCGCCGACCCAGGCCTGCAGCTCCGAGTCCTGCTGCACAGATGCATCACTGGGATAATAGTAGCCCACGATTTCGGAGACGAAGCTGCAGGAAAGAGATGCTCGTGCCACGGGGGTGACCTGGGGCTCGGGCCTGGCCAAAAATCCAAGGCCCAGTGCCACTCAGGCTGGGGAGAGCCAGACAGCCAGTGTCCACCGAGAGCCCACCACGGGCCAGTGGGAACCTCCAGATCCAGAGGGAACCCAAGGGCCCAGGTTTGGCCACTCCTGAGTCATGGGTGCTCTGAGTCTCCTTCCCACCCAGGGGTCTGGGGGTGGGGAGGGCACTGTGGAGAGCCTGGGGGCCCTAGCCCACACCTCAATGTTGCACCTGCCACCCTCCCATTCCTCTGGACACCCTGTCCTCTCCTTCCTCCCCTGTGTTCATACACAGCCCAGCCCCTCCCCAGCCTGCAGCTACCTGTCATTTCATTGAGGACCCCAATCCTAACTCTCACCCTGGGGGTGCTCCCTGGTGGGGCCTGAAGCACCTGCGACCCCCAGCCCCAAGCTCCCCAGCATGCATGAGAACAGGGGTCCACACTGACCCTGGGCCAGAAGGCCCTGGTGGGGCCAGACTGGTTGCAGGGTCCTGGGCCCGCACCCCTCACCTCTCAATGGCCGCCCAGATCCTCAGGCCGTCGTCCCGGTAATGGTAGTTGGGGATGGCCAGGACGCCGCGGGCCCGCACGCTGTCCGGAAGGCAGAAATCGGTGTAGGTGAAGTGGGCCAGAGCGGTGCTTATGAGGTAGAGGAGGCCTTGCCTCCCGACCGAGGTGACCTGAGAACACAACACAGCTCGGCTTGGGGACGGGACGAGGCCAGTGACTCAGCCGCAGGGATGTTCCAGTTAATCAAGGAGTCCAAGACCACGGGTCAAGCCCCTGCAGGGACTGACGCGGGCTGCGGAGGTTGCGGTCCTACTACGTGCATCGGAGGAACTCCCTAGGTATTTGGTAACTGAAAGAAAACGGTGACGCCGGCGCAGGGTCGGACAGGGGATGCGATCTAGGGGGGCTGCCCTGCCCACCTGCCGGAGACGTCGGAAGCCGGGCCCGAGGGGGCGGGGCCCGGGCTTGTGGGCGGGGCAAGTAGGGGAACCGGTGGGGAGAGGCGGGGCTTGAGGGATGGGTCTGGCAGGGACGGTGAAGTGGGATTGGATGCCGAAGCGGCTTGTGGGCGGGGCAAAGCTTCCTGGGGGCGGGGCTTCGGAGAGGAGGCGGGCGGGGGCCGGAGGCCGCACCTTGTCCACAAGGCCCTCGGGGTTGAGCAGCGTGGCCCGCGCGATGGTGTTCACTTGCAGCGTGTAGCGAGTGTGCGGGAGCAGGAGCTGCGGGCGGGATGAGGGCCCAGGAGCCGAGGGTCAGGGCAGCAGGCCGAGCTGCCCCCCCCTCCCCTGGCCCCCGCCCGGGGGCCACACAGACCTTGTAGATAGGATGGCAGAGCGGCAGCTGACGCAGCGTGGCCATGGCGAAGGCCTCGCACAGCAAATGCGTGCACAAAAAGTGTGTGTTGTTCTCGTGCACCAGGAACTCGGAGTTGCGCACCCACGTCTTGGCCAGCAGCCAGTCCCAGTAGGAGTCAGTGGGCAGAAAGATGGGGCTTTCCGGCCCGGGGGTCTGGCTGAGCTGCGCCCAAGAATAATAAAGGGGTGAGTCTCAAAACTGCTAGTGTGCCGCCCCGGGAATCCCGCCCCAGGTCTCACCTGGATGGCCAGGGGCACCAGCGCCCCCTGCGGGTTGAGCCATAGCAGGCAGAGCGGGGCGGCCACATACTGGGGGCGGCCGTTGAGGCAGTGGACCGGGGCCTCCGCCAGGATCCAGTAGTCCGCTAGGAAGATGTTGCCCCTCTGCGGAAGGCACACAGAGGCCCACAGAGCCCTCCAACCCGCGCTGCGCTGCCCTCTCTATTCCCTGCCCACTCCCACCCCAGCCGGGGCCTCAGTAATGCTTGGTGCCTGCGCTCATGGCCCGAGTGAGGTACCCCACCCTCCCCAGAACGTCCGGAATGAGGTCCAGCTGAGTCCCTGGTGCGCCACCTCCCACCTGGATAAGCTGGCGTCCTCTCCCCGGCCCCCCCCCCCATACCTGGTCCTTCCTGCTCTCTCAACTCAGTGACCCTGTCAGTATATCCAACAACAGGAAAAGGACCACACACTCAGAACTGCCTGCCCCATCTCCAGCCTTCTGGAGGATGCCTGAGGGCTTGGCTGCCCCAGAGAGACTGATCAGCATCTTCTCCCACGCCCTCCTCGGAGCTCCTAGTCTCCGTGACTGTCCCCCTTGTATGCGGCGGCACTGCCTTCCACCTGTCCTAAGATCGCTTTCTTTGGGCCTCAGCTCTGGGGATCTTGGAGGCCCCAGAACACGGGCAGGACCTTCTCTTCCATGCTGTCCCGCTCCCTCCTACCATCCACCAAGCCTCACCTCAGGCTTCCAGCCATGCCCAGCCCCAGCCGGCCCTTATCACCATCTGCTCCAATTCAAAGGTGCAAGGCTGGCTGCAGCCCCAGCCGTCCCATCCCTGCCCCCCACGCCCATCCCTTGTCCACAATGGCACCTCACCCACCTCTAGTTCCGTCTGCAGGCAGGTGTCGGGTCCCAGCAAAGGGGCCACCATGTCATTGGTGATGGGCAGCTTGCTGGGCAAGCTGGAGAGGCAGTGGAGCATGATGGGATTGACGCCGTTCAGGTACTGGTACCCGAAGAAGGGGTCCTCACACCAGTGCTCCATAACGTACTCTAGGGGGCAAGAGAGGGGGCTGCTTCGTCCGGAAACTGCTTCCCGAGATCCAGCCCTGACAGTCTCCCAGGCAAGCAGGGTATCTCTCTGTCTTCACTCCCCTATCCCTGTCCCCTCCCAGAGAAAGGGGAGGTGGCGTGAGCTCCTAAGGGGAATCTGTGCGGTGGCCACCCATGAACCCAGGAGCCCCTCTCTTGGGGGTCCCACGGTCTCCCTGAGAGGGCTGAAAAAAGGCCCCTTCCCAGGATGGGGCGGAGGGTTCAGAGCACGGAGTAGGGTGGGGGACAGACATCTGCCTGGCTCTGCACACCTGAAATCACCGTCTTGTGGCACCAGAAGATATTCCGGATGTCGTCCAGCTTCTTCCAGGAGCCCTTGCGGTCCAGCAGCCCGCGGAGCTTCATGCCCAAGGACCTGAGGGGGAGGGGAAGCGAGGGTGGGGCCTGGGGCTGCCCCTGGGCACTGTGCCCCCAGCCTAGGGGCCTGGAGGGACCCGACCAGGTCAACGTCCAGAGCAGAGGTGCCTAACAGTGTGCCCGTTAGAAAAGTCTAGTCACCAGCTGAGGCTTTGTAAGGGTGACTCCATATGTGCACGCCCAGTGGTGCACACTGCCAATCTTCATTGGTGCCTTGGCCTTTCTCCAACTAGTCACGGACCTTCGCTGGCCCCTGTGTGGCTGGGACGTCTGCCACCAGCCAGTCCCGACCAACCACGGCCTTCTCGCGACACGCAACCAGAGGTGTACTTTGTACACCAGACTAGTAAAAGGGGGGGCGGCAGCCTGGGGGGCGCCATGCACTTTTCACTTTGTGGGTGTCTGTACTGTTTGAATTTTTTGAAGCTGTGCCTCTCATGGTGAGCTGTATCCTACATCTCTACCTACTATCAAACCTATCTAAGACACACAGTCCACCAGGGAGCACGGCCTGACACCCTGCAAACACACACCTGGTGTGTATCTTCCACAAAATGCTCCTCCCTCCCTGCGTTGCATGGTAAATCCAATGTCCTCCTGACACCCTTTATTACACACGACACTATGGACCCCTTAGGGCCAGGACTGGCCGTGGATTCCCGGACATACCAGTTCGTAATAACAACTTACTGCCTGCACCAAGTTAAATGGAAGGGACCGCAATGCCTACCAGGTGGGTTTGTGGCAAGTGGTGGGTGAGGGAGGCTGTGTAAGCGTGCTCAGATGCCCCAAAGGGTGTGGGTGCCATGACCTCACAAGCCCGGGGACAACTTCCTGAGTGTCCCCTGAGCTGCCCGCCCCTCGGGCCACAGCATTTGCCGGGTACCTGCCCCATAAGGCCCCAAAGAGGGGAAACACCGGGCGGGAGCTCTGTGTTAAAGCAGAGAGCAAGGAGGGGCGACTGGGAGACTCAGTTGGTGAAGCCTCTGCCTTCGGCTCAGGTCATGATCTGGGGTTCCTGGGATCGAGCCCTGTCCTAGGGGTCTTCCGGGCCTTCCTTTGTTTAGACCCACATGTCCATCTGGGGACCAGCTCAGGCGACCCTGGTCCCTCAGCCCTGCCAGGGCCTCTCACGGGTCCTTGCCCTGAGGCCCGAGCCACCTGCGACCACCTTGCGCTCCAGCCAGGACACTCCCCAGCTCCCCGCTTGCCCCACCTCTGCCCCTCTCCCAGTAGCCCTTCTCCCAAAGATTCAGTTGGGCACAGAAGCCCTGAGGATGAGGATCCAGCCCCTTGGCCCGGACTCCTCTGTGCCTTCTAAAGCAGCCCCTGCACAGATGGCCAGCCAAGCCTCTCCGTCCTCCCCAAACGAACCTGGCTTTGCCCAGGATCCACCCCCTCTCTGCTCACCTCTCCTCTCCATGGCTCAAAGCCTGCTTCAGTCCCACCTGCCTTCCCGGGAGCCCCCTGCTGGTCGCTGCTCACCCTGGCTGACTCTGGTCATGAGTGTCGACAGTACCCCCTCCATCAGTCACACTCAGAGCCTCAGCTGGGGACTCGAGCTGCTAATGGCCCCTTGGTTCCTAATTAACTATGCCAGACATCTCCCTAGGGACACTGAGCTCCTCATGGTGGAAGACGACATCCTAACACTCGGTCACATCCACTGAGAGATTGTTTTGCCCTAGATGCCATCTCGCTTCCTCTCCCCAAGACCTATGAGGTAGGCATGGATGTTACTGTCATTTTACAAATGAGGAAACTGTTTAGAGACTGTGTGAAGATCAAGGTCACACAACTGGAAGGTGTTGGTTCTGGGATCTGAATATGAGGTGGTCTGACTTCACTTCCTTAAAGCTTTAGGGCCAGGCCTCCCTGTCTTACTCAAGACAGCACCAAATTCTACACCGAGAAGGGGCTCTGTTCATTGCATAGATTTGAGGACTGGAAATAAAAGGGATGGCAAAGGAGCAAGAGGAGATGATGGGGAGACAGAGAATGGAGAGAGAAGGGGGAGACCGGGGCCAGAGAGGGGGAGACTGGGACAGAGGGGGGAGACCGGGGCCAGAGAGGGGGAGACCGGGGACAGAGAGGGGAGACAGGGACAGAGGGGGGAGACCGGGGCCAGAGAGGGGAGACCGGGGCCAGAGAGGGGGAGACAGGGCCAGAGGAGGGAGACAGGGACAGAGGGGGGAGACCGGGGCCAGAGAGGGGAGACTGGGGACAGAGGGGGGAGACAGGGACAGAGGGGGGAGACCGGGGCCAGAGAGGGGGAGGCCGGGGCCGGAGAGGGGAGGCTGGGGCCAGAGGGGGGAGGCCGGAGGTGTGGATATGCCTGGCAGGGTGGGGGCAGACGGGAGAGCGACAGCAGTGCGGGGAGGCAGTGGCCTCACGCGGGGATGGCGCTGAAGAGCAGAGAGGCCATCTTGGTGGCTGAGTAGCGAATGTTGGGTTCCATGTGCATCAGGGACGGGAAGTCAATCTTCATGGGGAAGCCAGGCAAGTACCGATTCCCACTGCTGTGGAGGGCGGTGGGGGAGGCAGAAAGACAGACACCAGTCAGACGGACTTGCAGCCCACTCCCCTTCATTCCTTCCCTGGATCCTCCCCTGCCTCCGGCCTCCCACCCGACCTGAAGCCACCTCCCTGCCAGACCCTCGGGGTCACCCCCCTCACCTGTCCCCTGGGTCTGCCCGAGGTGTCATCTTGGTCAAGGCAAACTTCTTGTCTGTCTCCATCTCCTCAAAGCTGCTGACGTCTATCATGCCGGGGAAGCCGGGGGCATAAACTTTCCAGCTTCCGGGGGAGAGAGGTCAGGGGTGGCTAATCAAACTTAGGGTAAAAAAACCCATCAAGGACAGCAGGGGGAGGGGTTGAGTGTGGATTCACTGATGTTCTTGGGACAATTGTCAGTACTCGCGTTCTAGATCTAGACTTGGGGTCAACCTCAGAAGGAAGTTAGGGTTACATGAGGGTCCTGATCGGAGCCGAGCCCCCAAGCTTGGATCTGAGGTCAGATTTAGTGACAGTCTGATTGAGGCTGAGGTCAGCATAAAGGTGAGGGAAGAAGTCAAATTAGGCCATCCTCACCGGTAACATTCCTGTCGGCCCTGGAGCTCCCGTTTCCTGTGGTCCAGAAGAAGGGGAAGGGAGTCCTGACAAATAGTTTTTGCTGCGGGGAATGAAAAGTACTCATCATATACGTCTCTTTTCAAAAGGTGAAGCTTGCCTGAACGCCCTAACCCTTGAACCCAATCCCTCAGTTGACAAGGATACCCCATGTTCTTCGTGCATTCATCAGCAGAACGGACTCAAGACAACCTCACCCCCAAATTGTAACGATCGTCCTAATTGTACTTTTGTCTCCTTCCCAGGACTCTTTGGGGGCAGAAATTATATTGTAGTCATTTTGTGTATTCCTGGCACCTGGTGTGGTGCCCGACACTGTGCTCATAATGTGTACTTGACAAATGACTGATGAATGAGTATATTTTGGGAAATGGGGGACAGATGGAAATGCTAGGATGATGGGGGGGTCTCTGAAGAACTCGCTAGGGGGCCGAGACATCACCTCTCACCCCTAAGACTCATGTCAACACTCAGACCAGCCCTGGTCATGCCTCTTGGGATCAGACGGCTCAGGAGACGTGGGTGGGGGTCCAGAGGCTGAAGGAGCTCGAACTGGGCATCCTTGAAAGGCCCCCCAGATGCAAGAGGGAATCCTAACAGCATGTCACAGGGACTTCGTCCACACCAGAAAAGCCAGTAGTAGTTGTCGGCAGGGCTTTCCAGCTAAATTCTCTCAGCTTCTGCACCTGCCGACACCCAGTTATTCGGCTTACAGCTCAAGTCCGCTCTGGGCGCGGGAGAAATTCACTCTGGGGGCGTGCAGAGGGAGTGGGCCGAAAGCTCTGAGTTCCAGTTACCCTAACCCCACCCCCGTTCCCTGCGGCCTGGGCCCCGTGAGACCCCACCCCCCGACCCCAACAGATGCCTTCTGCAACCCAGGCCAGCCCCCGGCCTCTGGCCCACCTGTTCCTGGTCGCAGCTCTATGGTGCAGTAGCCCTCAATCCACTGATAGCAGGGGAAGTGGGAACAGGTGCCATCGGGGGCCGTGACGCAGATGCAGCTGCAGTACCAAGAGTCCTTGGGGAAGAAAGCGTAGCGCTCCTTGTGTAGACGCAGCAGCAAGACCTCGCCCAGCTCCGCTGAGCAGCGCACCTTGTACTTCTGCACCTGAGGGGACCAAAAAGCAAGCAGGTGAGAGGCGAGGAACGGCGGGGGCATCCTTACCCCTGGCGAGGCGCCTCTATGCCTACATCTGTTCTGGCCTATAAAGCTGAGAGCCGCTAACCCACGCGAGGCCTTTGTATGAATTAGGAAAAGGCACCCCTCCATCCAAGCAGAAGCGGCCACAGCTCCCAGAGGCACGGTGAGTGAGCAGAGTGGATTCTGGATCTCACCAGCCTCCTTGGCTCCCGCCCCCTTGTGTAGGCCACCAGCAAACAATCGTGGGGCTTGGCGGAGGCAAGCGGATCCCCTCCAGAGAAGAGGAAACCCCGACTCACAGAGGGCAAGTGACTTGCCCAAAGCCCACCTTCAATTATGAGAGGAGCTAGGAAGCCGGTGGAATTCTCCTGACCCCCAGCCCCTGGCTCCTTCCTCACAGCCCTGCCTGTGTAGAAAGTATCCTCTCCCCAGGAAAGACAGAGACCAGAATAGGATGGTGAGGAGGTCAAGGCCGGCTCCCTGAGTTCTGCAGGGTTGGAGGAATGACCTGGGGGAATGACCCTCCCCTCCTTCAGGGTCCCCAGGCCCTCAGGGGTCCCTCCTCCCTCTCCTCGGTACTTACAGATCCAGGGGCGAAGTCCCTGCCCAAGCGATCCAGCAGCTGCTTGGGGCTCTCACCACAAGTGCCCACCAGAGTGACAGAGATGTTGTCCAGCGTGCCGGCCCTCAGGTAGGGACCCGTGGTCACACACACGCGGTACACGGCCATGGCGGGAAGGAAAGAGGGATGCCCCGGCAGCGGTGACCACAGCAGCAGCCCGCCTTGGCGCAGGGGGCCGGGGGGGGGGGGGCGCGGGGCTGAGCTGTGGGCCTGCGGAGCTCCTGAGTGGGGGGCTCGGCCCGGGCAGGTAGGCCTCCCAGGGAAGGCCCCGCTCTCTCTGGGATGCTCTGGGGCTCGCCCGCCTCTCTCCCGCGAAGCTCCCGGTCTCTGTCCCGGCTCACTGCGGGCTCCCTCTCCCCACCCTAATAGTTGTTTGCTTGCCTCTGGCACAGCCGGTCTCTCTGGCTGACAGGACAGGGCTCACCCAGATGGATATCAGGAGTCCGAGTCCCACCGGGAAGGGAGGGACCAGGGGCTGAGAGGGAGACGAGGAGCAGGTGACACCTGTGTGACTGGGACACTGCCCTGCTCCCGGTTAGGGGCCGCTGAGACCCTGGGGCCCTGGTCCGCCCACTCCCCAACTTGCCCCGAAACCCTTTCCTCCTCTCAGCCAGGCCTGGGCACGGGGCACCCTCATTCCCTACTTGTGAATCATCCATGTGAATCAGTCTTCGCAAGTGAGCCATACTCGACATAAATCACACCTGACCGCGGCCGCACGCAGGCGAGTCGCCCCTGCAGAGGAGTCAGGCACAACTCTCCTGTCGCTCCCCACTGCGCACCACCGTCCCCACGCCGGCTCCCCTGGATCCCCGCTCCGCGGCACGTCCGATCTCGGTCCCTCCCTCGGGATGGGGCCGGCCAGCGGACCAAAGTGGACCCGGGGCTCACGTCTGAACGCCCCGCGTGGCCTTCGTTCCGCTCCGGGCCCGCCCGTGGCCTGCAAGGCGGGGGCCAAGTGCGGGGGTGCCGGGGATCTGGGTCACCCGGGCCGCGGACAAACAGCTCCGCCGGGGAGGCCCGCAGCCGGCAGCGGCCCCGCGCGGCCAGTCCCGGCACCGCAGCGGCCCAGCCTCGGCGGCGCTCCGATCCCAGCAGCCGGACACCGGCCGGGAGGGTGCTCGAGCGAGGCTGGCAGAGCGTAGGCGGGAGCCGCGGGGCCGCCCCTGCTCGCTCCTGGTGCGCGCCCGGGGCGCTGCGCTCGCGCGTGCGCTCACCCCTGGTTTCCGGGAGCCTGGACTTCCGCGGGCGAACAGCTCTTATAGACAGTAGCGCACCTACATGGTAAGAGCCCGGATAGCTCAGTCGGTAGAGCATCAGACTTTTAATCTGAGGGTCCAGGGTTCAAGTCCCTGTTCGGGCGTTTGCTTTTTTTTCTCCCCCCCGCCCCAGGAGTATATCTCTCTTCTTGAGTATGCGTAATATCTGTATTCCTTTAACCAAAAGCAAGAAAAAAAAAAAAAGAACAAAAGTGCTGTTACATGACTTTAAAAAAGAACTGATAGTAACCCCGGCAAGGATTTTTAGTTTTCAGAAAGAACGAGTGAGAGTGGAGGGAAAGTAGAGATGTTTCCTGCGAATTTAAATGTTCTGGTAGGCACATTAAAGAGTAAACAGAACCAGGTGAGATTAAGTTTAATAACATTTTATTTAACCCAATGAAATCTTATCTCAACCCGTAATCAATATTTTTAAATTATTAATGAAATTTTAACAATCTTCTTTTCAGTAAGTACCGTGTCTTCTAAGTATGGTGTGTATTTTACACGTCACAGCGCATCTCAGTTCGTATCTCAGGAGCTCCATAGAGGCGCCCACCGCTTCAGGTAGGTGTTTTTGTTTTCTTTTCTGTGAATGGTAGAATGGGAGGGGCAAGAACTTCAGTGTTATGTACAGTCCCAGAATAAACTGACCAGAAGTGGGTTCCATGGTGTAATGGTTAGCACTCTGGACTCTGAATCCAGCGATCCGAGTTCAAATCTCGGTGGAACCTTAAGTTTTGCCTCAATTCGTACCGTTATTTCTCAGCTTCGTGTATGAGCGTTTCTCGTTCCCCGAGAGGGTCCGAGAAGGAAAGCAAACGAAGACGCTGTCCTTTGGGCTTCTCAGACCGGGTAATCGGAGCCTCCAGCACACCATCAAAACACGGAGTCAGCACTTAAAAGATAAGAGCAAGGTGCGCCAGTTTTGAGAGAGAACGCAATTTCAGGACACCTTACTGCGGACATCAGTTATGAAGAACCGAAGGTCTCTCTGGCGGTTCCCGCCAGGTTCTGGCTGACACCACCCATGCTGTCCCCAGTAGCAGGGAGGGGATGGTGCCATCACTGCAAGCAGTCCTTGTAAAAACAAGGGGCATATATCCGGGGGCCGGGGGTTTATGAGTTCTATGGTGCACAGGCCACCAGAAAAACTCCATCCTGGCAGCGGTGGGATTCGAACCCACGCCTCCGAAGAGACTGGAGCCTAAATCCAGCGCCTTAGACCGCTCGGCCACGCTACCTGCGTGGAAATAAGCCCTCCCCGTAGTCCTCCTAAGAGACTAGAGGGGCGAGCCAAGCTCGCGATGACTGTACTAAGTCAGCGGGCCTTCTTTGGAAACCCCAGACCCAGGAGCAGCGAACGGCGAAACAGGGCGGAGGAAATAGAGATACACCGATATTTGCAACGAAACAAGTTTATTTTCATGGGTGGGGCCACATCTGGGAGTGGGGTGCGCCTGGGCTGGAAGCATCCCCCAAGCGGGCAGCCGGAGCTCTGTACTCGCTCGCTCCTGCTCGGTTGCTCTCTCTCCCTGTCTCTTCCACCCGTGCGCGCCCGCACTCCCACCGGGCTCTCGTGCCTTTGGCCCGCTACCTCTTCCCGGCAGGCCTGCGAGGTCCCAACCACGCGCTCCTGGCCCGCCCCGCCCAATTCCCTCACACCCCTCTCCCTCCCCGCCCCTTGCGCATGCTAGTACCCGTAAGCCGTCAGACGCCGCCGCTCGCCAGGTGGCTCTGTGGCGCAATGGATAGCGCATTGGACTTCTAGTGACGAAAGAGCGATTCAAAGGTTGTGGGTTCGAATCCCACCAGAGTCGATTTTATTTCAATTTTTCTTTTCCCTTCCTCTTTATCCGGCTTTTCCTTAAAGGTTCCCATCCCTTCTCCTCCTACCCTATTTCAGTGTTTTCCACCTGGTTTCAGCTTCAACCTCAGTCTCCGCTCTGCTCTCTTCTTTACTTACCTGTCTGCCCCGGGGCTTGGGCCATGGAGAGCAGGACTGGGAGGGGCGGGAGACAGAAGGAAAGGGAGACAGAAGGAAAATGGGCGTGGACGCCGACATAAAGGCAGGCCCCTGGCTCGGGGACACACGGGGATTTAATAACCACTTTATTCCATGCACTAGGGACTCGGGAAGGGACTGGGGCTGGGCCGGGGGCAGAGAGGGTACAATCCTAGACGCAAGGGGAGGGGGCAGGGAAAAGGGACAGGAACCAGGGAAATATATATTTATATAGATACTCTAATATAGACCACATCTCACCCGCGCACTGCGCCCGCGCGCCCCGCCGCCCTCCCCAACACCTGCTAGCCCCGACGCCCGGGTCCCTCTGCTGCCCTCGGGCTGGAGTCTCTACCTCACCCCCAGCCCCCGCCCCCGCCCCACCCCCCAAAGCTCAGGGCCAAGGTCTCCAGAAAGCGGGCGGCGGGGGCGGCGGGGCCTTGGGCGCCCCGTCTTGTCTGTGCGGCGGCGGCGGCGGCGGCGGCGGCAGCAGTCCGGTGAGGGGCGCCGGCGCGCCGGAATCCCCCGCGCGGGGCGAGCAGGGGGACGGGGACCAGGCGCAGCGCGGGCTACGCGGGCCCTGGTGCACTGGGGGGCGCTGGTGCAGCGCGGGGCCGGGCGCCGGGGCGGCGGGGTCCAGCGGTGGGCGCGGCGCTTGGGGCCTCGCATCTACCGGTTCCGGCCGGGGCGGCTTGGGGCGCAGGTAGCCATGCAGCGCGGAGAAGAGCTGGGCGCGGGCGGCCGGGCTGGCGTCGTGCGCGAAGGCCGCCAGGCGAAGCAGGCACTCGCGGAAGCCGGACAAGTAGCAGCTGGCGAGCGCCTCGGCGTCCTGGGCTGGGGACCGGGGAACCCCTGGAGCCGCGGCGGCGGGTGCGGCCGGCGGGAGCACCGGCGGGCAGGGCAGGGGCCCAGCAGGGGTGAGGGAAGGGGCGGGGCGCAGAGATACCGAGGCCCGACAGACGCACAGAGACAGGAAGCCAGATGGACGGACAGAGGGAGAAAATGAGGGAGACACAGAGACAGACACGCGCGGGTGTTATTAACCTCGCCTCGGAGCAGAGCCTACCACTCCCCAAGCCCACCGTCCATCGCAGGGTCCGCCCCAGCTACCCCGGCCCCGGGCCTCCGTGAATCCCCCCTCCCGCCCTCCGCTGCCCCACCCCCGCGCTGTACCCGGGGGCTCCACCCGGCTTCGCTCCCTCAAGTAGCCCACGGCGAACTCCAGTATCTCTGCTTTCTCCAGCTTCGGGTTGCGGAGGTTCTACAGACGGGAGGGGGAGGGCGCAAAGACAGAGAGGGGTGGGGAGAGAGGGGGAAGTGGCAGGGGGAAGAAGGGAGGGCGGATGCAGGAGCTGGGGGTGCCCCCGATCGCGTGTGCGCGCTGCCCACGGAGCGCGCGACCGAATGCGGAGTGGCGATGACCAAGAATGGCCCTGGGAAACCTTGAGACTACACCGTCCGACCCGAGGGGATGAAACCAACCCACAGGGTGAGGAGGGGGTTTGAAACAGCAAACCCAGGGACTGAAATGAACCACCCTGCAGGCTGTTTTGAGGGGGTGTGGGGGAGGAGGAGCGAGCGTTTACAGACCCAGAGGTTGAACACTGACCGACCCTGGGAGTGAAATTTACAGAGCCGGGTGTGAAACTTACAGACCCGAGGGGTGGCCATGAAGATCCCGTTCTGAGAGCGAGAGGGGGTTCTGGGATGGGATTCCAAGGGCGGGACTCGGGTCAGGATGCCTTGGCGCCTGGGTCGCCAGTGCAGCGTGTGTCCCCACCCCAGTAGGAGGCCCTGGGTCGCGAGGACGGGATGCTGGAGATGCTCCGGGGGCGGTGGAAGGACTGACCTGGTCCCGGGTCCGCTCCAGCAGCAGCAGCCTCAGCTCTTCCAGGCTGCGGTTGATGCGATCCCGGCGCCGCTTCTCCACCAGCGGCTTCAGCATCTGCGACCAGCAGGAAAGGGAGAGCGGGCCGACCGGACCGAGACTCAGCGCGGCCGCGCCGGCGTTCGGATCCCGCCGCTGGGATAGTCCCGCCCCCACCCCTTCCCGGACACCCCCAACGAGGGCCTAGGGCCGGGCCCATTGGGTCCCTCTCCGCTCCCGCTCCCAACGCCCCTAGGGCCAATGTCTGTAGCTCGCCTCCTCTCTCTCCCGGGTCTTCTGCAGTCTCCTCTCTCAGTCTCGTCCTCCCTCCTCCCCTGTCTGTGTCTCTCCTTCTCCTCCTCTTTTCTCTCTACGTCTCCGTCTCGTGCAGTCTCTCTGTCTCAGTGGAGAGCTTTGGGGGCCCTCTTTGCGCCCAGACACGTGGCCCGCAAGGTGCCGGGCTCTGAGTCGGCGGCCCTGAGTGTAGAAAGGGAGATACCCAGCGCGACCGCGCTTCCTCTTCTCCCTCTAAGCCGTCTATGCAGTCACATTACTCCACTGGTTCTAAAAGCTTCCACCCGGTCTCAGGCCTCTGGAACCAATGCATTCCGGGCCTTCTCTATAAGGCTGCTCTGGGCCAGCTGTGGCTCACGGAGCGCGTGGAGCAAGTGCCTAGCCTCTTGGCTCTTAGTTTCCACCCGCCTCCCTTAGCTCTGTGCTCCCCTTGCTTATTTCACTCAAATTCGTGCCCCCTCCCACGCCCTCCAAGCCGCAAGGTGCCACATCCCATTACCCAAACCCAAGACCTCTACTTCTGCCACCCACGCAGCTCCTGCCCTGACCCTGTCCCCTTCTTCATACTTTGCAGCTTCCTTTCCAGCTCCTGGCTCCTTGGGTCCCCCACGCACCTCTCCCCCTTCCAACACTGCGCCTCCAGGCTCTTCCCTTCCCCCAGGGTCTCAGGGACCCGGTCCCCTGACCGGACCAAGGACCTCTGCTCCCTCCCCTCCCGCCTCTCACCTTGGGGCCGTCCCTATTCTCGGCTCGATCCCGAGTGACCATCGCTCCTCCGGACCCTGGTGTGGACCGAGCCCCTGCCCGCCTGGCGCCTTATATCCCGCAGGCTCCTGGGTTGGGGGGGGCGTGTAGGACCCGGACCCGCCCCCTTCGGCACCCGGATCCCGCCCGGTGCGGCCCGGGGCACGAGGCTCCCGGAAAGGGGAGGAGCGCAAGGGGGAGGGGAAGGAGTGGAACTGGCCTGGGAGTGTGGGAAATGAGGGGCCAATGCAGCACTGGCTGGTTTAAGGCCCCTAAGGCTGTATAATGAGGTGGAACCCCGCTGAAGGGAGGAGGTTATTAGGGGGAGAGGGAGTTGAGGTGATCTGGGACAGGACTCAGGAATGAAGTTCAGAGTCCTCCCCCCCCCCCCCCCCCCCGGCCAACCACCATTCGCAGCTTCTTGGAAGCTCTCTGTTCCCCCACCGACTCTGAAATAAAAGATAGCATCCCTCAACCCCCAGACTGGATCTTATACACCTTCCCTCAAAATCCACCTCCTAATTGGGTAAGGGAGCGACCTGAGTGTGCTGGGTGAATCTGTCTAATTCACCTGGGGTGAAGGAGCCGCTCTGTGCGATCTTAGTGAATCTTACTCCATTCCCCGAGCACTACGCACACTGGTGTAGGCTTGGGTCGTTCATACTACATAAGCACTACAGGCCCAGCTTACCCTTACAGGATCGAGGGGGAAAGACGTGTGTTATCAAGTAGCTATTACAGAGCGAGTGAAGCAGGTGCTGGGGAGAGGGTCATACTGACGGGTGGCTGGACTGGGGAGGAGCGGGACCCTCAAGGAAGAGGAAGCAAGGCTTTGAAGCATGGGTAGGGGGTGGAGAAACCTTCCCACTTAGAAGTATTTGATTCAAAACTAATTATAGGAGGTTCCGGCGCATGGTTTCCAGGATACCTGACATAAGTCGTGCTCCTGCTGCTTGCTCCTGGGGACCCCTCCACCCCACCGGGGAGCAGGGAACAGGCAGTTTTCTTAAAGGGACAAGAAAGAGATACAAAAAGGGATCAACACCCACCTCAAACCAAGAACATGACCCTCTGCAGAATGGTGCGTGAACACTCGGAGGCTTCCAGATAAAGTGTCTGAGAAGATAAAATCAGAGATTTCACGGGACAGCCAGACCGCCCGGGACAAGGACACGGAAAGACAAGGTTGCAGACCGAGTCGGAAGATAAGCTGCGGAGTCAGAGGCCGACGAGGCTCTCCGAGCCCTCCCAGGGCCTCTCCACACCTTGGGGTTTTGTTTTGTTTCACGGAGCCTGCCTCGCCAAAGCCCGAGCCCGGAGACACACAGACCTTGGGGAGGGCGCTCCCATTTGGGATCAGGGCCGCCAGCACATCCCACCTCCCCCTACCTGGGCCAAATGGGAGCGCAGATGTGTGGCCCCAGCAGCCCCCCTCGCCCCCCTCCTTGGGAACCTGCGCTCGGGCTGAGTTTTTCTCACCTGCACGCGAGGCTCGGGGCCCCGGGCTGTTCGCACCCGAGTGTGGGGCCGCCCCTGGCCATATGGGGCGACTTTATGGCCGGGTGGCCGGATCCGGGCGGGAGGAAGGGTGGTCTGGCGCTCCACCCACGTCAGCTACTCGGGGCCACTCCTTTGCTGAGCCCCTGGCCTACACCTTCTGCCTGACCACTGCCGTCTCCACCTCTTACAAGCTCAGGTAGGGCCACTAAGGAGCAATTGTCGGTTGCATTGGTGGTTCAGTGGTAGAATTCTCGCCTGCCACGCGGGAGGCCCGGGTTCGATTCCCGGCCAATGCAGTGTTCCTTAGCTTTTTCTTTTTTTTTTTTTTCCTTGTCTCCAAATGGGGAGAAGTCTGATGAAATGTCTAAGAAGCATCTCTGTTTAACATTCCTAGCAAATATTAATACTCAACTTTTTTATCCTATGGCAGAGTTGGAGGCTCTGGATCCAGATCCGGATTCGCAAGATCCTCCCACTCTCGTCCGCCCAGCCCGGGGGTCCTGCTGCCTTCCACACCCCTCCCTCCGCCCCCCCCCGCCCCCCGGCCCCGCACCTCCGCAGGCGTGACCCTGAGAAAGGACACGCTGCTCGGATCCCTGCCCCGGGGGTCCTCCCACCCTCCGCAGGGGAGGGGCGGGGCCTTTCCGCCCTAAGCTCCCCAAGTCCCGGGCTCTCCTGGCCCTTTCTCTTCCTCGCTCGCTCTCTCCTAATTTCTGTTCTCTCTGAAGCACGCCTGCTTTTTCTAAGTCCGTGGGTCCCGGCCTTTTGGTGCCGCCGTCTTCCTGTGCCCCCCGCGGCCCCCTTGGGGGCTCTGTCTCTCTCCAGGTGTCTTAGCAGCGTCCGCGTGGTCTCGCTGGGTCTGCACCTGTGTCCGTGCGTCTCTAGCTCCGGGCCTCTCCCGCCCGCGCGGCTCGTCTCCGGCGAGCCTGGATCTCTGATCTCTCGCGGTCTCTCCGGGTCTCTGTCGCCGCCCTGCACTCTGCGCTCCCACGCTCCTGCCAGCCCCTGGGAAGCTCGCTCACACCTCCGAGCCCCCCGCCACTTCCCCGCCCGCCCCTTCCCGGCCGCTTTGATCCCGCACGCGTCGGGCCGGCGGGCGGCCGGGCGCCCTCGCCAGCTGCCGCGGCCACTTGTGAGCCCGCGGGGAGCGGGGGGGCCTTGGGGCGGGGGCGACCCCGACCCCTACCCCTCCCGCCTCGCCGCGCCGCGCCGCTGCCCGGCCTCCTGCGGGCCCGGGTCTGTGGTTCGCTGAATCTGGCTCGCTCTCCGGAGCTCGCCCTGGGCCTGCTCGGCCTCCGCTTTCTGCCTCGGGTCTGTTTCAGTCTGTCTATTTCATCTGGGGGTTTCCTGTCTCTGGATTGTGTCAGTGACGCGGAATGCTCTCTTCGCTACTCGCAGCCGCGACCGTGGCTCCCAGCAGGAAACTGTACGACAATCTGGGCATCTGTCTGTCTGCGGATGTTACTCACTCAGTCGCTTATTTATGGGGTGCCTCTTGGGTGCCAAGTATGGGTAGGCACTCAGGGTGCACTGGGTCTGGGCTCTGCTGAAGCTACATATGGGGGGAGGGGAGTACAGAAAATAACTAAGAAAGCAGAAAATAATATAACATGGTTATTAGGCTGGTGCGGGTGGGGCGGGGGGGGGGGGGGGGAACCTGCCGGGGCAATGGCTTGAGAGCAAAGTCCTGCTTTCTTTACTCTGGGTGGTCAGAGACATCCTTTAGGAAGAGGTGATATTTCAGCCCAGCAGAGCCCGCTGAAAGCAGGTGACAGGGCAAGTGCAAAGGCTCTGAGGCAGGAATGTACTTTGCTGGTGGGAGCCAGAGAAAGAGGGCCAGTGTCCCTGGGACAGAGAATTTGGGAAACCAGGATAACAGCAAGTCTATGAGGGAGGGAGCCACCGGGTCTAGCTAAGCTGCTGGGAGGTCAGGTAAGGACAAGAGAGCAAAGCGACCATCAGCTTAGCATCTTGGACATTGCAGATGACCTGAGCAGAGGGGTGCCTGAGTGCAGTCCCACTAGGGTGGGTTGATGGGAGAATGGGAGTGAAGGCATGCAGACAGCAGCTGTAGACATCTCCAGCAAGTTCTGCCATGAATGGTGAGCAGAACAGTGTGTGGCACATAGGGGCACAGACCATCCTGGAGGCTGAAGGGAGTAGCCCAGGGAGGAGGGTGGGGGCGGGGCAGTAGACTCCTGTGCCAGGTAGAGAAATCAGCTTCCGGTAGTAGGGAAGGCTCCTCACCCACAGGCAGATGGGGGGAGACAGAGGGTGCGGGTCAGTTGGGGTGCAGGGAGAATAAGCCAGGTTCTCCTGGTTGCTCTCATTTCCTCAAAGAAGAAAGAGTCCAGCTCACTGCTGGAAGGGAGAGAGCTCAGGTCGTTTGCGGAGAAAGAAGGTGTGAAACGTTCGTTTTGGAGAGTAGGAAAAGCCCCGTAGGCTAGAGGAGTAGGATTTCTAGGCAGGTTGAGAGTCCATTTGAGATGTGGGATCAAAAGTTTCAAGTGCAGAGGCCATTTCACCATGACGGTAATTCAGTTTATGCTTCAGGACCCCTTCGCTTGCACCGGCTCCTGGCGGGGGGCGGGGGCTAGCAAATGTGCTCACATGGCCATGTGCTTCTATAAGATTGGCAAAAGTAAGATATTTTAACTGTAAACGGTGAAGACCGCTGTCTCTTCCCACTCTGCCTGCCTGTCACTCTTTCCCTCTGGGGTTGGAGTGGCTGGGCCATTTTGGGATCCAGTTCTGGGAAAGGTGAGCTGGAGAGACATACAATGTACAGTTTCGTGGGATATGTTGAGGTGGTTCCCGGTTACTTCCACATATAATGGGTTAGCCTGGCTACCCTGGTGTGGGAATGAGTTCCAGGAAGCTGCCATCACCTGTGTCCGTCACCAGGCCTTGTGCCATGAAGGCGCAAAGCCAGGGCGGGCACACGCCATTTGAATGGGTCCAGTGGCTCTTGTCACTATAAGGACGTGGATGGTGGAGGAGAAGCCAGATTGGAAATAGAACCGGTAGCTAGTCTGTAGAAAGTATTACAGAGATGTGCAGGCTGCTCATTAATGCAAAGAAGTTGTTTTTCTGGACTTGGTGACATGGGTGGCATTGGTCAGCGTTTCCAATTTGTGAGTTGTTGTGATCTCTCTACAAAACCCACCTTTGTATTATTTTCTTTAAAAGCCCCCCTCCCAAATTGTAGACACATCAAGCCCCCAAAACCTGAGGCCAGTTGTCCTGGCTGCACGATTTTCTCCAGCAGGGTTTCCTGTGCAGATATGAGGCTGAGAGACCACCCTCCAGGCAGATGCCCAGTGTTTCTGAGGGTTTGGGGTGGGGGTCTCTGTGTGGCCTGCAGGCCTCTGTCAGTGTGGGCCTGGGTGTGGGTCCTGTGCACATGGTGTGTGTATGGGTGTGTCTGGGCCTCTTCCTGGCCACCGCCAACAACAGCGACCACATCTGGGCTTGGGGGAGGGGAGCTCGTGTCCCACACGCGCTGGGCCCCTAGGGAGGCGGGAGGCACCGCCAGGAACTGAGACAGCACAGCTGGTGGAGGGTCCCCGAGCTTCCCCTCCCCCGCTGGGACGTCTCCCCAGGCCTGGGTTCCAAGGCTCAGCTCCTCCCTCTTTGTTCTTCAAAGGGGAGGCTGGCTTCCTGGGACCCCCTGGGTCCTGGGTAGGGGGAGTTCCTGGAGGGTTGGGTCTTGGGGGCTTGGGGGTTGGGAAGTAGGAGGACCAGGCCGCCCCCTGGGGGGGGCAAGGGATGAATCAGGATAGAAGACCCCAAAAAACCCAAAACAAAACAGGATAATCCCCACCCTTACTGGCCAGACGGTCTTGCAGGGGCAACAGTCACAGGAACATTATACAAAACGTATTTGTCAGGTGGTGGTTAAGTGCTTTGGGGAAAAGCCAGCAAAGGAGCAGAGAGCGGGAATTGTAATTTCAGAGGGTATGATCAGAGGACTCACCAAGAAGGTGAAATTTAAGAGGTGAGAACTACACAGGAGTGCCTCGGGGAAGAGCTCTCCAGGCAGAGACCAGGCAGGAAAAATCTTGAGGGACGACATGCCTGGCTTGTCAAGGAGGAGATGGCGGCACCGGACGAGGCTGGCATGGTCGGCCTGGGTGAAGGTAGCACCAGAGTTGAGATCAGAGCGATAAAGGGGGGGCGGGGCCTGATCACCCGGGGCCTTCTAGGAGGTTCCATGGACTTTGTCAGGATTCACCCACTTCTGAAGGAGATGAGAGCCCATTGGAGGGCTCTTCCGTCCCCCACCCCCACAACTAGCTTTTTTTGTTTAGTTCTGTTTCTAGCACTTTTAACACTATAGTACAGTTATCAGTATCAAAATTAATATAATACCATTATTTAATCCTCCAGTCCATATTCAAATTTCCTAAAGTGTTTCAGGGATGTCCTTATAGCTCTTTTGTCCTGATTCAAGAGCCAGTCTAGGATCACGTGGTTGTGTTTCACTGCTAGGTCCTTTCAGTCTCATTTAATCTGGAAGAATCTTCGCTGTTGATCTTCATGGTTTTGAAAGAGTTCAGGACTGTAATTTTGTAGAGTGTCCTTCTGTTTGGCTTGTCAGATGTTTCTTCACGGTTAGAATCAAGTTATTCAGATTATGTCTTTTTGGCAGGGACATCACCACGGAAGTGGCACCAGGTCCTTCTCGGTCCTCCGTGTTGTCACATCAGAAGACACAGGTCAGCTTGCCTCAATACTGATGCTGTCTTTGGTCACGTGGTTAGATGGTGTTGGCCAGGGCTGTCCACCGGAACGTTATTATTGGCCCCCTCCCGAGGAGTAATTAAAGTAATTTGTGGGAAGATACTTTGAGACTCTTTGCTACTTACAGCCCCATTAAGGTTCACCCTCTACTTTAGTATTCATTGATGATTTCTAACTCTATATTTATTAGTTGGCAGTTTACCGTAAAAAGAGCCGTCCCCTTCCTTCCCATTTTATTTATTTATATTGATATGAACTTTGGAGTCTTACCTGATTTAAGGAATTATAATCCATCACAATCACTACTTATTTTAATGCTCGATTTGTCCCAGATTTAGCCAATGGGAGCGCCTTTAGCTGTAACCCCTAGCTGTTAAGTCTTTTTTTTTTTTTTATAGATACCCAAAATTCTTTGAACATTACTTTCCTGTGCAACAAAATGTTCCAAGAGCATCTTATAATTTCCTAACTGAAGCCCTGGAATCAGCCTTTTTTTCCTAGGAGCCCTGGTTCATTTTAGAGGAGAATGGTATTTAGTAACCAAGATCTGGTCACTTGTGTGCTTATTGCTATTTGTGTATCATTCCTTGTAGCCTTTCTCAGTGGAAAGAGGAGGGAAATACATATGTATATATGTATGTTTGTTTATGTATGTATGTTTATACGTCACTAGTTAAAAACCATGAATTCATATTGCTATCCCACTGGAAGATTTTGAAGAGAGGAATGACAGATTCTGATTTATGTTTTGAAAGGATCACTATGCCCAATGTGTTCAGAGTAGACTGCAAAGGAACAAGGAAAAGAAAGGAAGCAAGGAAATAATCTAGGGGCTGTTGTAATAATCTCAGTGAGAGATGTGGGTGGCTTGGACCAGGGTGTAGTGGTGACATGGTGATAAGTAGCCAAGTTTTTAACATGTTTTAAATAAAAAATTGCTGACTGCGTGTGTGTGAGAGAGAGAATCAGTGATGATCCTAAAGCTTTTAGTCTGACCAACTGAAGAAATGGAATTTTCCTTTACTGAGATAGAAGATCTACAGGTGAAGCTCATTTCGGGGGGAGGCCGGGAGTTGGTTTGGTCATTTTGTTTGTGATTAGATATCACAAACAGAAATGATATTAGATATCCAAGCAGAAATGATAAGTAGATAATAGTATATATGCATCTGTAATTCAGGAAAGAGTTGTGGAGCTGGAGATGAACATTTTGGATGTATTAATGTATTATTAGTTGGTATTTAAAGAGATCACTGAGAGAGTGAGTATAGATAAAGAGGTTGGAAAACTGAACGGTGGGAACACTTTGACATTCAGAGATCCAGAAGGTGATCAACAAGCAAAGGAGTCTGTGGGTAAGGGAAGGGTAAGCCTCCATAAGTAGTGATCAATGGGTTTAGCAATGCGTGGTCCTTTGGGAACCTGTTAACAAGAGCACCTTGAAGAATGGGGTGGGGGGGCACTTGATTAGAGAGGGTTCAAAGGAGAACGGGAAGATGGAATTGGGGGAGAGTAGGTATATGATACATGTTTTGCAGAAGAGGGGAACAGAGGGAGGAGTGGGAGCTGAAGGGGGTGTGTGTGGTGTCAGGATAGCTTTTGTTGTCCTGCTTGTTCCAAACTGGAATAGGTTTCAGTACGCGTGCAGGCTGGTGGGAGTGATCCAGCTAGAGAGGAAAACTGATGGTACAGGAAGGAGGGCAGGGTCCTTGAGTCCTCGTGAGCCGGGGGAATGGGAGATCTAGTAAGTGCAGGGGTTGGCCTTGGTTAGGTGGAAGGTTCGTCTACACCACTGAGGGAAGGGAAGAGCGTGTAACCACAGACAGGTAGGCAGTCAGGTAGGTAGGCAGGTGCGATTGCGGATATCGATGGGGAAATCTCTCCAGAATGCCTTATTTTCTCAGTGAACCAGGAAGGCCGAGGGAGGAAGAAGGGACTCGTGGTTTGGGGTGACAAAAGGGATGAAACAGTCGTATGGGAGACTTGCAGGGGGGTACGGATAAGGGGGATGTAAGATGACTGCCGAAGAACCCTGAGAAGCCACCCGGGTTTGGGGACGTGAAGAATTCAAATTAGTAGTTAAGTGACTTTTACAGGACACACCCATGGGAGGAAGCGCAGGCCGGAGCGTAAGGCCCGCAAGGGGGCGCTCGCGGGCCGATAGCGGGTGGCGGAGGCCCCGAGAACAAATGCGGTATCTTCTCCAAGGGAAGGAAGCACTAGGAAAACAAATGGCTTTCTCTCTCCGAGGGCAGTAACGCGTGTTCCCAAAAGTACACACGCTGTGAGCAGGATTCGAACCTGCGCGGGGAGACCCCATTGGATTTCGAGTCCAACGCCTTAACCACTCGGCCATCACAGCCGCGTGCGGCTTCGGGCCTGCGCAACTATAGCTGCCTATCAACGGGCCCGCCTCCCGCCGACCCCGCCCCTCCGCCTCGGGACGTGTGTGCGCGTGCGTCTCGATGGGGGAGGGGGTGCGGGCCGCGGCCTTGCGGAAGCCGCAGTCCTCCAGCTCTCCTTCCCGCCCACGACTCAGTACGGCCCCAACAAAATGAGCCCGAGCCCCAGCCCAGGGTCCCACGTCCTCGAGTGCAAGGGATGCCCGCGTCACCCCGGTTCGTGAAAGCGAAGCGAGAGTCAGCCCCCGAATTTCCACTAAAAGTGCGCCGGAGCGGAAGCTCCAGGTGGGATTGGCAGGGGAAGAATAAGAATCTTCCGGAAGAGCGCCCCACGAAGAGCCTTGGGGTAGGTTGGAAGCGCGTTGCCCTTGCAGCAATAATATTCCGCCTTTTGCGGACCGAGGCACCGCTGGGATTCGAACCCAGGATCTCCTGTTTACTAGACAGGCGCTTTAACCAGCTAAGCCACGGCGCCGCCGGAAAACACCTTCCTTCTGGAGGTAGATCAGCCACTCAAGGGAGTCAGTAAGTGAGACCCACAAGACAATGGTCGCCACGGGTCCTCCGCCACCTCGGTTCCAAGGTTTTCCCCTCCCTTCCCAGGTCCCGAGCCGGAGGGTTAACGCTCCGCCCCTCCCGTCTCCCACACCTCGGGGGCCCAACTCGACCGCGAATGGGTGCTTGACCTCACGTCCCGCAGCCCCCCCTGGACTGGGCCCTTTCCTGCGTGGTGACACGGTGACGGAGCAGCTGAACACCCTCACCGGCTTCGGGGTCCCCGCAGGCTGGGCCGGCTCTCCAGCCGCCCCCCGCCCTGCTTCCCACGACATACCCCGCTGACGCAAGGTGACAGCCCCCCCCCCCGCACCCCGCCCCGGCCGAGTTAGGTGGAGATTTTATGGGCCCGGCAAGGCCTTTCCGCTGGAAAGGGTGTGCGGAGCAGACGGCTGGGGGGCGCCAGGGGAGTGGTCCTCAGGCTCTCACTACAGCCTCCCTGGAAGCGGGGCCACACCTCCCCACAAGAGCTCCCTAACTCCAACCGACACATTTCAGTCCACAAAGTCCTGGGTTTTTTTTTTCCTCTTTGTATTAAAAAATAACAACAGACACAATATCAAAAACACAAATGCCATCGGTAGAGGGTACAGCTGAGAACACCTGGGTCCCACCTGAGGGGCAGCACCAGGGACTCCATGGTCCACCAACCTCCCCCACCCCGGAGCAGCTAGGGGTTTGGACCGCTGGCCCTCCCCCTCCCCTCTAGGGAGGAGGTGGGAGAAGGGGCTGTCTCCCCCAATAAATAAGTGCAGCCCCAACCCTCAGGGACCGGGACTCGGGCTCAGACGGGACGAGACCACTTGAGCAGCTTGTCAGCAACCTTGTCCAGGGGAAGGAAGAGCTCCTCACCAGAGCTGGGAGACGCCGCTTCTCTGGGCTGGGCTGACGAATCCCCGCCGCCCCCCGCCAACGTCTGTACCCTCAGAAGCAGGAGGCAGCCCCTGGATCCTGGGCTGCTGGTGGGGGTCCCGCCCCCTAAGTGGGAGAAGCTGGGGCAGTTTCCTATTGGTTGGTCCAGCCACATCTGAGTTCTGAGAGGTGGAACACGGGAGAAGGAAGCTTCTCATGCACTGCCGGAGGCGGCCCCCAAATGTGGTCTAGCTGGTGCCATTTTCTGTGGCGGGTAAGGCTGGACTGGGTGAGCTCCCACCTTGTTCCTCCTCCTCCATGGCCAGGTCCTGAGAGCTGGAGACCCTGGCCCCAGCTTGAGCCTGCGCCTCTTCTCCGCCCTCACCCTCAGTACCCCCGCCCCCACCCTCGCCTCCGCCCTCCTCCATAGGCTCCAGTCCCAGTCCATCGAGTTCGGAGAAGAGGGGATCATCCGGGTTGCCAGGGTCTTGGGTGCTACTACCGCAATCCACACAGGCCTTGGAAGGAGGAAGAGGACGAGTCAGGCAAGGTTCTCCCTGCTAACCTGCCACGCTAGCTCCCCTTGTGTCTCCCCCGCACCCCCCAGGATTACTTCCCCAAATAGCCTCCCAAAGAAATACTCGTCCACACAGATGCACGCAGGCCAACAAGACTGGAAAGTGTACCACACCCTGTATCTAGACCCCACTAGGACACAGTCCCAATGTCCATCACAGAGGATTGGCCCAGAAGGTGTCTACAAAGACTCGTGTGGTTAAATGCTATCCAACCCAGCAGCAAACTTGGTGCAATCACCATCCTTCAGAATGAGCCACCAGAGGACAAGGAGGGGATCCCCGCCCCCCACCCCGATCCTCTCTTCTCCCTCCGGGCCCAGACGTCTCTCACCATCACATCGAGGGCCCGAGGCAGCTGACCCTTCCGGACCCAGGAGTGCACGGCACCCAGTTCCCTGCGCTGGTCCTCTGAGAACCGAGGCTGCTGCTTCTGCATGGCCCGGAGCCGCTCCCGGTCCTGCTTCAGCACAGAGGCCATGTCCCTGCGCGGGGAAGGGGTTCTGATGGCAGAGGCTGGGAGCCGGGGCCAGAGCCCAGCGACTACTGTCCTCCCCACACACGGCCTCCGCTCCTCCTCTCAACCAGGGCTCTGGGTGTTTGGGGCTTCCGAGACCAGGAAAGCTTGTGCCCGGCCTGGCTGTGCCAAGGCAGAGCCAGCCGCCCCCCCCCACACCCCAAAAAGAAAACCCCAAGCTCGGTGGGAAGTGCAGGTGGACCAGCACACCTCCCTCCAACGGAGGAGCGGCAGGGGGCCTCCGAACCTGCTCACCTGGACGGCACCTGGTAGGTCATCATGACACGCTGGTCGGCATTGGCCATGAGCAGCCAGATGGGATCCTGGAGCACGTACTTAATGACCTGGTCCCCGGGCTCAGCCCCGGCCTGGGCAGCCCCGGCTTCGGCCTCGGAAGAGTCAATGCTGCCGAAGTACTTGCTCGTGTGGCTGCTCTGACTGCTGCCTGCGAAGCGGGGGGCGCAGGGGGGCCCCAGAGTCAGGCCGCTGCCCCCCCCCGGGGCTTCCCACGCCCTCCCTCAAGGCCATGTCTGCAGCCCCCTGAACCCAGGCTGCTCAGCTAAGCGGGGGGGCTAGTCCCCCCAACGCGCCCCATCAGGGTCGTACCCTGCGGGGGGAGGTGTTTGGGGGGCCCGGGGGTGGGGGGCACTCACGTGTGATGCTGGCTGAGGTGCTGCCTCCCTCATGGGAGCCGGAACCAGACCCAGAGCCCAGGCCGGAGCCCAGGGAGCCTGAGGCGGCGGAGCCTGTGCCGGACCGAGAGTCCTCCTGTAGCAGCAACTCCAGCAGGTCGCTGGAGTCCGACAGTGCGTCCTGGTTGGAGGACTCTGTCACATCCACCTGCAGGGGGTGAGGGGAACAGGACGGGATTAAGGGATCAACAGCCAGGCTTCGTGTCAACTGCTTCCACTGGCTGGGGGAACCCACCCAACCCCAGTGGTCTCTGTCCCCACTCCCCGACAGTGGGGGCCGGGACGAGAGAGGGGAGAAGAGGAGGGGCAGGACGCCGGGCCCGTCCCAGGAGGCCGATGTGCTCTCCGAAGCTCTGGGGATGTGCCCTCACCACCTGTCAGACAGGACTGTCCCCATTCCACGGATGAGGCGGCGGGTTTCTGCCTCATTCAGAAATTCAGCTGGGGCCCCCCACCCTACGACACCATCTTCCAGAGACCGAGGCACCGGGCGGGCACAGGGCAGGGAGGAGCATGAGCAGGAAGAGGGGCAAGGGGAAGGGGGCTTGCGTGGGGGCTGCTAAGAGGATGCAGGGGGTCCGTGCTCACCAGTCTGGCCTCTGGCTCAGCGGCCTCCTCATTGGGAGGAGGGGGCCCAGCACTGCTCCCAGCGCCTCCTGCAACAGCACCCCCTTCAACACGGGGGGGCTCCTCAAGCTGCAGCAGATTCAGCTGGAGCGGGGAGCTGCATCGCGAGTTGAAGAGTGGAGAGTCCGGCGCACGGGGAGGGCTGGGGGGCGGCGGGGGCAGGGACGGAGAAGGGGAGTGGGAGGCGGGGGTAGGAGGCCCTTCGGCAGGGGTCTGGGCTACCCCATAGGAATAGCTGGGCGGAGCGGGGAACAGATAGTTAGGGAGCACCAAGGCTACCATGGGGGTCACCAGCGGGGCAGGGAAAGCTGCAGGGGGCCCAGCTGTGGGGGCAGCGGGGAGAGGCTGCAGGCCTCCTCGCGGGGAGAACACTGGGAGAGGGTAGGACTGGACCACAGCTGGGAAGGGAGTAGTGGCTGGTGGGGGAGGCCAGGGGGACGAGGGTGACACAGGCGACGGGTGGGAGCCATAGCAGGGGGCTTCGGCCCGGGGAGTCTGGTGGTGGCGGGAGCGCTTGGCTTTAGATCGGCAGTGGTGTCGGCGACCGGGGGGTGTGGGGCCGTGGTGGCAGCCTGTGGGGAGAGACGAGGGTTAGCGAGGGCCTCAACCTGGGGGTGAGCATCCCTGCCCCACCCCCCACACTGCCCTGCCACTCTGACCCAGAACAGGGCAGGAGAAGGCCCCAGAAAGAACTGGGCCTCCGGGCTGCCCAGATCAAGGGGGGGCCTCTTGGGAGGAGAGAGAACCTTCAGGGAAGAATCACAGGAGGCGGGGCCAGGGGGGTTTATTGCAAAAGGAGCCAGGACAGGCAAAGTTACAAGTGGGGCAGAGCTGGGGGCGCACGAAGGCCGAGGCACGGTAGCCGATGGGAGGAAGCAGGGTGGGTCCGTGGACGAGCGGGCAGGCGGCTCCGGTCCCTCCACCAGGCTCCCACAGCCTGGGCGCTCCTCCTGCAGGTCGAGGCCATGCTCGGCCTAGCTCGAGTGACGAGGTGGGTGGGAGAGCCCAGTCCCGAGTCCTGCGTCCTGCAGGGAGCCTCTCTCAGGCACCTGGAGGGCAGACATCCTGCCCTTGAAGCCCCGACCCGAGCGGGAGTCGTCCCAGCTCGCCTGGCCCCTGTTCGGCCAGGAGTCTATACGGGTCTCTTAACTGGCGACACCTCGGTCAGAAGCGGCCGTACTTGAGCCCCGGCCCCCAAGCTGGGCTTGAAACAGCTTACCTGGAACCGAGCACCTCCGCCTGCCTGTCTCAGTGCCAGCCCCCCAGGCTGCCCTCCTCTGGCTGCAGCCCGGAACCCCGGCCTACTGGGGAAAGTCTAGCCAGGGGCCTGTCCCTACGCACGGCCCTCGTGGTGGAAGCCTCCCCAGCCTGGGTCCCTGCAGCAGGAACCTCTCCCTCAAGCACCCCCTGCCCCCTCCCCCGACAGTCTGGTCCTGGACTGGGCAGAAGACAAGGCTCAGAGACATCCCGGGTGGCTACCTCGCTCGCCAGGGGCCAGGGGGGCCGGGGAGGAGCCGTCAAGCGCTCGCAGTCGGCTGAGGTCTCGGAAGCGGCTGAGGAAGGCCTGCTCCTCCTTCTGTGTGTGCAGGGACAGCACGGCCTTGGTCAGGCCCACTGGGCGGTAGGCGTCTGGGGCGGGGTCGGGGGCTACCGTGGGGCTGGGGGCCGGACTGGCAGCTGGGCCTGGAGCCGGGCCAGGCAGGTCCTCCATCATGATGATGTCTGAGAAAGGGAAGACCAGGGGGATGGGGGGGGGGTCACTGGGATCCCCTCAGGGGTTCCCACAGCCACACCACACCCTGCCCCCCTCCAGCAGCCCAGCCTGGGCCCCAGGTGCATCTCCGCCGGGCCTCCTCCCCGCTGAGGGCTGGTTCTGGGCCCTCTTCCCATCCCCCAGGTGAGAGAGGATACTGAGTCCCCTCCAGCGACAGTACCCCAGGATGACCCCCTAGGACTCTCCTGGGAAGGCAAGCTCAGTCGTTGCCCACCCCTCACACACTCTCCGGGACAATGCCCAAAGCCCCTTTGCGGGGGGGTGGGGGGGCGGTTTCTGACACTCTGTGGTCCGCAGCTCAGGCTTGAACCCCCCACCCGAGGCACATCAGTGTGCGCACTAACAGGAAGAACAGGAAAAACAAAGGCGGCAGAGACTGAAGGAAGGGACAGCAAGAGGCAACAGCCCCGAGCTAGGATGGAGGCCTCTTTCTCTCCCTCAGGGGCCAGACGGGGAAGGAAAAGGCAGGGGGAGGGAGCTGTGGCTGTGGCACCAAAGGGAACCCCCTCACTGCACGCCCATACCTGACTCCGGGGGCTTCTTGTCTCCCACATGGACGATGGTAGAGCTGAAACTACACTGGCTGGTGACGGACACCACGCTCTCTGCCTTATTGGCCAGGGCGAGCGGGCTCAGGGTGCCTGCCACCACTGGCTCCTTCTGAGGGGCGGCCCCCTCCCCGCGCAGCACTGCCGATGGATCTGAGCAGAGAGACGGCACCAGTTACCACCAGGAGGTCCCTGGGGGCCGGGGGCGGGGGGGGGGGGGGGGGGGGGCGGGCGCTGCCAGGAGTCTGCAAATCAGAAGGCCCGGAGGGGAACAGAGCAGAGTAAGGTGGGGGCCCCAAAGGCAGAAGTGTGGAGACGGGGCCAGGGGGCCAGGACGGGACCCGCCGGGTCTTTACCCTTCTTGGCCCCCAAAGGGACCGGACCCGTCCTCTGCTTGTCCTCGTCCGAGGCTGAGGAGGTGGTGCAGGAGGAAGAAGCACACTTCCGCTTGGTCGTGCTGGGGATGTTGCAGCTCTCCAGGTACCTGGCGGGGGACCAGAGGTCATGAGGGCGGGGCCTGGGGTGGGATGGGGCGGGGCCCAAGTGAGAGGCGGTTCCCGGGTGGCCTTACCTGAGGATGCTGTCCAAGCAGTTGATCTGCTGGTAGGAACAACTGGAGGCTTCTTTCCTCTCCACCTCGTCAGGGGTCAAGGTGAGTGGGGCCTGGACGGGAGCAGGGACCACTTCCAGTTCTGGGTCTGGGGACCGGCAGGAAATGGTCTTGGCCTTGAATGTGCCTGTAGCTGGGCCAAGGAGAGAAAAAGGAGAGACGAGCTCCTCTGGGTTGGGGCGAAAGTCATGGGGCCCCCAGGTCTCATTCCTCACCCGCACCCTCACCCACTGACCAGGGAGGCGGGGCCGGGGTAGAGGCCGGGCGCGGGACTCAATGAAAACCTGCTGCCCCTGATGCTTCACCAGATGCACGTCCTTACAGATCTGCTGGAACGTCACCTGTGGGACAGAGCAGGCCAGCACTGGGGGCGTGTGGCCAGTGTCAGAGGCCCAGAGCGCAGAGCAACGACAGGTACCCAGCGGGCAGGCATGCAGGGCACGGTGAGAGCAGGAGGAGACGGAAAAGGCACCTGCCCAAGCTGATTCTGACAGCACCGGGGGAATGCCGGCCTAGGGGGCGCAGCAGAAGACGGACACTCACCGGCGCAGGAGGCCCAGGCCCCTCGGCATCACCCCCGTTGCTGTCACTGGAGGAGCCAGGGCTGAGGAGAGGGCCCGGGGAAGCGACGGCGCCCACTCCACAGAGCCCCGTGGGACTGGGGCTGTGCACGGGCTGAGGCAGGAAGAGAAGGGGTTAGATGTCTCAGCCCTGCTCCCAGCCCTGCCTCCTCGCCAAGCCCCACCCCTCCATAGTCACCTGTAACAGCAGCCGGTGGATCTGCTCCGAGAGCTCCTGGATGTCAGAGTCCAGAGACAGAGCTGGGCTGGGGGCCGGGGGAGTAAACACATCCTCATTCAGGGGTGCCCTGCGGGGTGGGGAAGGGGAAGCTGAGACCTGCCCCCTGCTGCACAGACCCAGCCCACAAAGCCAGCTCTGGAGCAGGGCCCACTTACGTGCGGACTTTGTGGCGGCCCAAGACAAAGGCCACCTTGCGGCTCCAAGGGTGCACGAAGCCGGCCCAGCTGGTGTCCATGGTGACATACTCGCCATTCCGGGCACAGAAGCGGATAGGGGAGTGGTCAAAGGGCTGGCCCGCCAACTGCAAGACTGAAGGAGTGGGAAACGAGGGGAGGGTCAGCAGGAGGGAGAGCCGGGAAAGCAGAGGGCCACCCCTGAGGATCCAAGAGACCAAGGCCCCGAGAGATGCAACCCCCAGCACGGCCATGGAGAAGCCCCATGGACAGCCAAGGAGGGAGAGCAGGAAAAAAAAGACTCACTCTTCTTGTGGATGGCCAGCATGAGGGGTCGGTCCTCAGGATGCAAGAACAGGAGCACTGGGGCCCCTAGGAGGTCCTGGGGGAGGTAGCCCAGCAGCGGGGCGGCCCTGAAAGGGGAGGTGGCATCAGAGTAGCCAAGGCCTCGGCCCCAGCCACCCCCATTTTTCCTCCAGGTCCTGAGCTCACCTTTCGTCCACATCCTGGAAGAGGCAGCTGGGTGTGTGCCGAGTGGTGAAGATCCTCTTGTCAGGGGGGATCCGGGGAGCTGAGCAGAGCAAGTGTGGCCTTTGGTTTTTTGTTTTTTTGTTGTTTTTTGGGGGGGGCCATTGGGTTTTATCCAGAATGGTCCAGCTTCTCTGCCCGCCGCCACCCCCCCACCGTCTCGGGCCCAAGTGGGCTGGCAATCCTCCCCATGGCTCTGCCCAGGGCCGTCTAGCCTACAGAGATGGTCTGGACCATTCTCCTACCCCACACCAAGTGTGAAACTGAGAACCAAAGCAGTCTCCTTTCTCTGCTCCTAGTTCAGGGTGCTCATCCAATACTCCCTCTAAAAATGAGCTCAGACCTTCATCCTTACCATACCTTCTCTGTTCCAAAATTCTGAAGGGCTGAGATATGCCTCCCAGACTCAGGTCCTGCCTCTCCCCTAGCCTAGAGAAATCACCCTTCCTCCTACCCCCTGCCAGGCCGGGCCCGATGCCCACACACCTTCATAACCCGAGTGGATGCGCTCTGCAATGAGCAGGCAGCACGGCTGTGCTGGGGCCCCATCTGAGACCCGGATCTTGGTCACGTATGGCGTGAGGCGGAATGGCTGGTACCGAGGCCCTGAATCCCGGTCAGGACCTCCTCTAGCAAGGGAAAGAGGCATTAGTGACTTGGTAGAGAGCCACCCACCCTGCACCTCAAGGTCACAACCCACACAGCAAAGAAGCAGGAGAGTGGAAGGTAGGAGAGGATCTGCTCCCACTTCCCCCACCTACCTGATACGGCAGAAAACAGACTTCTCCTGGGTGAAGTCCTTGAGGCCTGAACCTGGAACAGACCAGAAAGGCACTAAGAACAGCCCCCCCCCCCACCCTGGGCTAAAAAGAACCCGGCGAGAAAAAGCTGGGGTCCCCTGGTCCCTCACGGTGGCAGCTTCCGGGGACTGCTTGGGGACCTCACCTGCTGAGGTCCCAGCGCCCCAGGTGGGCAGGCGAGACGGGGCAGTGGAACCATAGAAGACGCCCACATCCTGGGGAGCCAGCAGCTCTGAGAAGCGGGCCCCGCGGAACACATCCCGTTTGCAGCGGAGGAGGACACCCGCCTGCTCCGAAATGTAGACAATGCGGCCTGTCAGGAAGGAGACAGCCACGGAGAAGGTATCCTAGGCAGGGAAGCGGGGACAAAAGTCGAATCAGGAGCTGTGCGCATGGGGGGTGGGGGTGCATCAGGACCAGGAGACTGGGCTGCGGCTGACCTGGTTGCGCAGCGTATACTCGGACGTGATGTGCTCCAGCTCCTCTAGGGTATAGGTGGACATGTCCATGGCACAAGGCTCGCCCTCCTCCAGGCTCCACTGCTGGTAGTACTCCTGGTTGGCTGCAGGGTGAAGGCAGTGAGGTGTCTGGGGAGGAGCCTGCCCCACCGCCGCAGCCCAGGACCGGCCGGGCCATCCCCGGAAGCACCACTCACCCTGCACCTGCTTGACACAGGCCAGAGCGTACTGGAGCGTGGCCAGGGTCCCAGAGCGGCCCTTGCCCCGGCGCTCAGGCGGCAGCCGAAGCTTGAGCTCCCGCAGAGCCGTCATGAGCTCCTTCTGGGTCCTTGCCCGGGCTGACTGTTCGCTGCTGCAGGGCCCATAGGGAGGGAGGGGGTAGAGCCATGAGCCCCCAGATCATGGCCCAGGCCCCCCAGTGTTGTCCTCTGGCCCTCGACCCCACGAACCTGCAGCCACTGGTAGACGGGTTGTCCTGTTCGGAGCTAGCACTCAGGAGGCTGTAGGCAATGGAACTGCTGGGTGGGGACGGACTCTGAGAGTTCGTGCTATAGGGGAGAAGCAACGGGCCCAAGATGAGAAAGCGGCCAACAGCACGGGCCTGTCGGGTAGCTCAGCCTGCTCCCAAGACTGCTCCCGGACGCTGCACCACACATCCATACGCACCTCTTGCTGCTCTCAGTGGTCTCCAGCAGGGCTGAGTCCTTGCCGTTGCCTGAGGAAGAGCTGTGTGAGCTCCTCTGAGAGGCGCCCCGGGACTCGGGCCCATTGGATTCATTGCCACTGGAGCCGTTGCTGTTGGCATCTGTGTCATCAGCCAGGCTGGGGCCAGGGCAAGACCGGCGCTGCGGAGGCCCAGGGGATGGGGCTCCTCCCGGGCAAAAGGTTTCCCTCGGCCCGGGGTCCCCTCCCCCATCAGCCCCTTCTAGAGGGCCACTCATGTCTGAGCCATGGGGCGGGCAGGAGGAAAACACGGAAGGCGGAGAGGCCACCACGAGTGCACACAGGGGCCAGGCGGCCTGGTTGGGGGAGTGAGGTGGGAGATCCAAGCCTCTGAGGATTGAGAAGTTCGATCACGGGCAGTATCTGGACGGGGAGACCAAAGAAGGAGGGCTTGGAGAAGGGTGAGCTGTTAACTTTACAGCACCGGCCGGCTTCACTCAGACCTCCCCTGTCTGACCTCACGAGCCTAGGACCCAGGCTTCCCACAGAGAGCCTGGGCAAGTTCTGTTTCCTATCCCGGGAGAGGGGCTGCAGGTGGGAAGGGGCCTCTCTTGGGCCTTCCTCCACGTCCCCTGCCAACGTTGCCTGGGAAAACAGAGACTGAGTAGATGAGAACCAGAGCCCGGGCGCTTCCCATCCTCAAATTCCCATCAGGCCCCCACTCCGCCCGGGACTCCAAGGCCGCGGAGCAGGGGGTATGCCGGGCGCCGCCTATATTTAGGCCTTCAGGCTAATTTTATCCGGGGGCGGTGCCACCCCCGCTGCACATGCGCACGGACATGCGCGGCCCCACCACGCGCTTCCGCCGCCGCCGCGGTCGCCAGGGAAACCGACGTCAGCAGCTGAGCTCAGCGGTTGCTGGAGGGACCACAGGAGGCCGGGAAGGGCGACCCCTCCCCCATTTCCCGACGGAGCCGGGGATCGACCCACTCCCACACTGGCGGGCGCGGCCGCAGGTCGCCCACCTCTAATACACCCTCCGGCCCTGGAGGGCCCGGTGGCCATATGAAGGTTGACCCATCGGGTTTCCAGGGGCTGGCCTCGCTCCCCAGGGCAAAACACAACCGCCACCGCCCTCCGCGCAAAAGCTCCCCAGCCTGGCGCTCGCCTGGATCCCAGTCATTCTGGTCAAGACGACACAGCCTGTCCTTCTCCGGCCCCTGCACCCTCTCCCGACCCCCAGGTGCCAAGCCCGCACCTGCCATTGTCAGGGACTCGGGAATCCTCTTTCCTCCGTCCTCTACTTTTCTAGATCCCACCCCACCCCCATCCGAAGCGGACACACTCAGCTGTGAGCAAGGGACACACAACCGCCAGCGGATAGTTCTTCCCCTACTCCTCGTCCAACCACACCCCCCCCCCAACCCCCGAAGCATTTTCTGAGCGCTGGTAGAAAAAGGAAGGCTGTGGCCAACAGCAGGAACTAGAGCCGGGAACGGGATGTTCCACCCTGAACCAGGCTTACATCACGGCCGGCGCGGGGCCAGGCATTGGAGGGGGGAGCGCGGGGAGCGCGGAAAGCCCGAAGGGGTCCTGGTGCCGGGGCAAAAGCAGGGGCCCCCGAGTGACAAGAAAGGTGGCGGGGGCCTGCCTGCCGAGGGTCGGGCGTGGGGCCGGGGTAGCTGGGAGGAGAGGTCAAGGCTGGAGGTAAGGTAAGCGGATCAGGAGTGCGGACAGCCGGGTCAGGGTTGCGAGCAACACCTACGTTCCCGACGGCGGGGGGCGGGGGGGGCGGGGGGGGCGGGGGTGGACAGCTGCAAGGAAGGCGGATTACCGGTGTGCAGTCTGAGCGCCAGGGCCCAGAGCGGCGCCTCAGGCTGGAAGCGGCGGCGGTCCGACTTGGGGCGGGAGACCGGTCCCCGGGTGGCCCTGGAGATGCCTACCTGGCCGCGCGAGCACCCTCCGGCCGCCTGCCCGCCGCCGTTGCAGCCCTCAGCCGAGTGGAAGCTTCGCGGGGCCGGGAGGCGGGTTGCATAATGCCAGGCACTGCCCCTCATTGGCCTCCTGCCGGCGGAGCCGCAGGCCCCGCCCCCGATTGGCTGGGGATCCCGGGCCGGCCCCTGATTGGCTATTGGCCCCTACTGAGGTCAGGGCTGTGTCACACACACGGGCGCACGTGGACCTGGGTGCTGGCGCTGGGCTGAAGGGCCCCAGACACCACCACGCAGCCAACGGACGCAGGACGCCTTGCACAGTGAATAATGGGAGGGCGGAGAGGGGATCTCCCCTCTCCGAAGAAGCTGCCCTTCTTCGGGCAAAATGCCTGCGCCACGGTAGGTGCTTAAGAGAGGTCTACTTCCTGGACTGTCCAGGCCTACAGAACAGAACACCTTGGGGCGCCTGGGTGGCTCAGTTGGTTAAGCGACTGCCTTCAGCTCAGGTCATGATCCCGGAGTCCCGGGATCGAGTCCCGCATCGGGCTCCCCGCTCAGCGGGGAGTCTGCTTCTCCCTCTGACCCTCTTCCCTCTCGTGCTATCTCTCATTCTCTCTCTCTCTCAAATAAATAAATAAAATCTTAACAGAAAAAAAAGAACAGAACACCTTGGCCTTGCCAGAGGTGGGGGAAAGGAATGCTGACCCTTGGGGGGTGGGCCAGGCTAGATGAGATGGCTGGTCCCTTGGGAGGACGGGGACACACACACACACACACACACACACACACACACAGAAACCCAGCGTGGCCTCTCCTGGGTTTCTCGCCCCAGCCTTGTCATTACGATAAAGCCATTTTATCCAGCCCCTTCCTCTGACACTTCAAATCCTGTGGACAGCCAGGAGGATGGCAATTGAGGGTCCCCGCGTGACAGGGGGTGGAGTGCAGGGGAGGATGCAAACAGAAGGGGCAGCCAGGGCCAATAAGGGCTGTGAAGGGAAACAATGCTAGGTGCTTCTGTACCCAATCAGGGAAAAGGTCTCCGGGCAGCCTACGTGGTGACTAGTGCTGCTTTGCTCCTGAAGATGCGGCCACCCACACTTAGGGCCGCCCCCAAGTGGGGGCCAGGAAGCCAGGACTACAGGGGAAACCTAGGGGGTAGCTGAGGGAAGAGACCAACTGGGACCCTGGAGAGACAGGTGGGGTGGCTTCAGATCCCCAGCCCTAGGACAAGAGAAAGCAGAGGACCTCATCTGTCACCTCACTGCATTTCTCAGTCCCCAGGACAGAACCTGACACACCATGGGTGATCAGTAAATATGGTGATTTTGTTAACAAGGATAGATTAAGGGGGGGGGGGGCAAGGGGCCTTAGCCATGGAAAAGGTGCTGGAAATTATGCTTTTTGTAACGGGGAGGGGAGCAGAACTCTGAGTCCTAATTGGGGGAAATACAGTGCCGGGCTGAGCTGGGGGGAAACTGCAGTGACACAGACCCCTCCATCTAAGAGGGCTGTGAGCAGTTCCTCTCAGGGCTCCCCAATAACGTGGGTGGCGAGTGAAAAGGCCCCCAAGCTGATGCTGACATAATCAGCTGTGGGTGCTCTCCCTCACTGTCACGTGGCCTAAGCTTTCCTTAACAATGGTGTTCCCTGGGGAGGGGGCCGGGGGAGGGCTCTGTGGAAAAGCTGGGGCACAGGGATGTCAAAAAATAACCCAGAAAAAAAACCAAAGCAAGAAAACACAGGAAACAAAGGATTCAGGAGCCTGGATTCTCAGTCTCATCTCCTTGGAAATGGCCCCCCAACTCATAGACTGTGGCCCCGTCCCTTGTCTCATTTTCAGACCCCTCTCCTCTGGAAACAGGGTTTCTCTTCCTCCCGGGTTCTTCTCTGGGGTCTAGGTGTGATCTCCGCGGACACAGGCAGTCCGTGCTCTCTCACCCTCCACCTCTAGGTCTGTGCTTTGCATAGACAAAGGGGTTGAGCGCTCCTGCAGCGCCCACCTGCTCTCAAGGCCCCGGCTGTCCTGCCTCACAGTCCCCACAGTAACCAGGCCCTGCTGCCGTCAATGGAGGCGAGGGGGCGGGAGGGAGCGGTGACGTCAAAGCGGAGGAAGAGGGCGGAGCAAGGCAGCCGGGGAATGTGGGACAGGGAGGCTGGAGAGGCCGCGGTTTGGGAGGCGGCCAGCCGGAGAGGGCGGCGGCCAGCGGACTTGGGAACATCATGTACTCTTGGCTGGTGGCCCAGGACATGCACCCAGACTGGGCTCCACCCCCAACCAAAGACAGCCGTCCTGTCCAAAAGCCAGGGATTCCTGGAGAGAGGATTAGGAGGAAGGGGTCCCCCGCCCCCGCGCCTGGCCCTCTTCTCCAGATTCGCATCCGCCCTCCCCTCGGCTTGTAACTGCAGCTCCTGGCACTGGCTTCCCCCCTCTCCCAAACTGTACACATCTGCTGGCCCAATCCCAAAGAGCTGGGGCGGGGACGCTGGAGGCCCAGGTTCTGCGAGAGAACACGCACCTTTGCTCCTTCCCAGAGGCCCCCTCGGAGCTGGAATCTCCCGTTACTATGGCAGCAGAGAAATGGAGGAGGGGCAGGGAGAGGAATGGGTGTAGGATGAGGAAATCGAACTGGGACAGAGCAAGTGGCACAGCCCGGGGCCTGGATCCAGGGAGAGGAATGAAAGGGTGGGATGAGGGTTTGGGCTGGTGCCTGACGACCAGAAGGCCCAGGAAGAGGGAAATGAGGAGGGAGTCACCGAAACTTGCAGAAACACTTGAGAATGTGAGAATAGTTCCCAACGACAGCACTCCTGTCACTATTGTTTTGAGATCCTGTAGCCATTTTTTTTAGCTAAAAGCAAAACAAAACAAAACAAAAAACATTAAACCATAACCCAGGCATTGCGCTAAGCACCACATATATATATTATCTTATTTAATCCCCAGAACAACCCTGGGAGATGGGTATTACCCAGATTCCACAGAACCAACTAAGGCTCAGAAGTCACTACCTCACAATGTGTTCTCGGCTCTTAACAAGTGGAGCCCAGGGTTCAAATCTGAGCGCTGATCATGGCTTGTCATTCCGGCGCCTTACCATTCGGTCGGGCACCTGTGCGGTGATTCCCAGCACTGGAGGATCGGTGCCTCTCAAATATCCAGCCGATTCTAAGTTTGGTGCCCGGAACACAGATCCGTCCAGCCCCTCCTCTCCCTGGGCCTGGACTCTGACATCCAGTCTGCACTCCCCACACGCTCGCCCCGAATCATCTCAGCCTGTTTTCACAGGCTCACAAAGTCCTTGAGATCACCCCAGCAGCCACCAGCCCCAGGGGCTTCCTAGGGGCCCCACCTGCTCACTCTTCACCGTACCCCGGGTCACTTTGTCATAGGCCCGGGTGTCTATACAGAGAGCAGAGCTCTACCGAGAGGTTGGTGCCTCCTGGCGTCCAGGGGCTCAGGAAGACACGTGCACAGACAGTCCGCACAACCCTTCGGTCCCTCTCAGGACAGTGGCTACTCCACCTTTACTCCCAGGGATGGCTCCGAGGCTCAACCCCTCCCCTTTACACCCTAGAGAAAGACATCCAGAGCCGTGATGCGACGGGCTCAGGGTCACACACATCATCTAACCACCCTTTCTCGAATCACCATGTCAACCCTTTCGTACTCTTCCACCTGCCCTATCAGGGCTCCCTCCAGCCTCAGAACCCCTGAATCTTTTAAGCGCTTAAGGAGCCTACCCAAACAGTAGCCAAGCACTGGAACGTCCCCCACCCACTCTCAGGGACCCCGTCCCCACACCGCCCCGGGAGCAGGGGTCTCAGCTCCTTCGGGAAGCTGACGACTTCCGAGCCCCACCCTCCCAGGACCCCCTGGGCCGTCAGGGGGGTGGGGGTCCAGGGACCTAGGGCAGCGAGGAATCTGTCAGATGTCGGAGACTCCCGCCCTCGTCCCTCTGGGTCCCATTTCCCACGACCCTCAGAGCTCCCACCGCGGCGATCTCGCATTCGCACGATCCCCCCGCCCCACTCCATTAACACCGCCCCGGACAGGACACATCGCTCCGGAGAAGCGCACACGGGTCTCCGCTGGTCTCCGCCCACCCGCGAACACTCACCCTCGGCGCGCACGCACCGGCCACAGCTTCTTCCCCAGCGGGACGGTGGCGCCCGGAAGAGTTCCTCCAGGCCCGCCCACCCGCCGCGCGGCCACGCCCCTCAAGCTTATTGGCCCGGGGGCCCCGACCCATGCCCCGCGCCGCGTGCGGCCGCCCTGTCCCCGCGCCGCCACCATTGGCGCCGGGGGCCACCGTCATCTTCTCATTGGTCAGTCTGCCCACCCGCAGTGACAGCTCCACGTGCGAGAGGGGCCGCCCCGGCGCGTTGATTGGGAGCTGGCCGAAAGTCACGCCCCCACCCACTTCGGAGGTTCTTATTGGCTGTGGCACGAGCCTCCCACCGGCCCGAATCTGGGATGCAAATACCAGTCCAGCCCTTCCAAGTTTCTCATAGGCTGGGAGGTCTCGGAGCTGTAGGAGACACGTGCCGGCGGTCTCACGCGGCAACTTGTTTACCTGGAAGCTGGGGATTTTCCTTGACGACACTCTTACCAGAGACTGCGGAGTCTGCGCAGGCGCAGCGAGTGTGACCTGCACGCAGGCGCAGATGTGAGCGGCGGTGGCGTTGGTTGGGGGAGTTTTGTCCCGAGACCCTGGCAAGCTGTCCTGGGCGTGACCAGAGCGCCCCCCGCACTGAGTCTCCGGCCCCGGTCCCTAAAGCCCCGCGAAGCTGGAAGGGGCCGGCATTAACGGCAGAGCGGTCTTCAGATCTCAGCGCCGCGCGAGGACGATGATCATGGTGATGATGGCTGCCTCCGGGTGGTTCTCTGTGGACCAAGCCAGGCGCTTCTCCCAAGCCCAGAGGCCGTCTCACTACTACTCCGCCCCACAGAGGAGACTGGGCTAGAGAGAGGTTACATAATCTTGTCTGGATTAACACTCCAGTCAGTAATGGGGCCAAGATTTAAACCCAGGTCCCTGACACGATGATAAAGAGGGCGGGTCCGAGGGCGTTCGGGAACCTCAGTAGACGAAGCACGAGG